AAACTCCTGGGCTCAAGTGATCCTCCTGCCTCAGTCTCCCAAGTAGCTGGGACTACAGGCATGCGCCACATTCCCGGTAATGTTTTCTATATATTTTTAGTTGCGCAATTATTTCTTTTATTTTTAGTAGAGACGCGGGACTCGCTCTTGCTCAGGCTGGTTTCGACGTCCTGACTTGAGATGTCTCCCTCCTCGGCCCTCCCAGAGTGTAGGATTATAGGCGTGAGCCACCTGTGCCCGGCCTTATTGTATATTTTTAAATAACTGAAAGAGTGGATCAGAATGTTCCTCACACAAAATGATAAATGCTTGAGGTGATGGACACCCCAGTTATCCTGATTGATCCTGATTTGATCATTACCTGTTGCATCAAAACATCCTATGTACCCCAAATATGTCAAGTTTTAGTACCCATAATAAGTAAAAATGAAAATTAAAAAAGAAAAAAAGGAAATGGATTTAAATTTATTTCATGTGGCTTTTCTGAACTTATGTTGTTTCTTGAGCAAGTCACTGTCTGTAATAGGTTCTGGAAATATTTTGTCAAAAGACAAAGTTCTTGCTCTCATACGGAAGAGTAAAAAGATCCAGGGTGTGTTTCTAAACTTTGCTTATTCAAGTGTCACCTACTCAATACTTGCAGCATCTGCACGCCACCAGCACGATTAATTACTGAATCTTTTCTTTACATTGATAATTTAATCTAAATATTTTCTTGATCTTGATAAATTCATTTAAGAGATAGTTATTAATAATATTAGGATTGTAATACAAAAAAGCAGTACCACTTGCCATATATAGAAGTACAACTAAAAATAAAATACTGCACCATGAAAACAAATACCTATTATTAAATTATATTAGATACTATTGTTGGAATAGCCTTGAGCCTGAGTCCTGCCCTCTTTTTTGCAAAAAAAGGAGATTATTAAGTATTAGAAATACTAGTATTAGAGAAATACCAGTATTAAATTGAGGCTTTCTCTTTTGTGTCGTCAGAAGGACTGAAGGGCCTTTAGAAAAGGATTTTTTTTCAGTCTGTGTTTCAAATGATTTCACCTGTGCCCCTGCATTACTAAATGTTGATTTGGGATCTGCCAAAAAAGTATCTTGTGTGACATAGTGGTGCCTCTTCTGTATCTGAGAAACGGGTTCAGGGGAACAATATCTCCTGGTTTCCTTCATTGTCAATGAAACTCTTCACCGATTCTCTTGTGTCCAGACATAAAATGGACACATTTTTATATGTCATTAGGTTAACAGATAAGAAGTTGGATGGTAAGTCTAGGTGTGTAGCCTTCAGGCTACCATAAGAACTGTCTCATTCCCCCGTTTGGGCTTCTGTGACAAAACACCACAGACTGGGTAGCTTATAAAAACAGAAATCTTCTTCTCACAGTTCTAGAGGCTGAGAAGTCCAAGGTCAACAAGGCACCGGCAGATGCAGTTTCTGACAAGAGCTTGTTTTCTGGTTCGTAGATGGCATCTTCTTGCTGTGCCCCCCGTAGCGGAAGGGCTCCCTGGGGTCTCTTTGTGAGGGTTCTAATCCAAATCATGAGGGCTCTGATCTTAATGATCTTATCACCTCCCAAAGTCCCCACCTCCTAATACCATCACCATGGGGGGCGCGCGTGGGGGGGGGTTAGGACTTCAACATGTGGATTTGGGGTGGGGACACAAACTTCAGACCAAAGCGAGAGCCCAACCAAGCCCCAGCCTTTGCTCATTCATCGTGATCACTCCTTCCTGATTTGTCCTTCTGTCCTTCAGGTAAGACAGACGAATGTGTCTTTCCCTTCACCTACAAGGGGTCTGTTTACTTCACTTGCACCAAAGTGGGGGGCTTGTCCCCGTGGTGTGCAACCAGAGCGGTGTACGACGGCAGGTGGAAGCACTGCATGATCGAAGGTGAGTGCCGTCCCTTTGTCCCCTGCCTGCGGGCTTCGGAGTAGGGTGGACTACGAAGAGAATGTGTGTAAGACGTGGTCATATTTTTGCAGACAAGTTAAAATACGTATGTGTGCATAGACAATGCCCTGGGAGGCCAGACACTCAATGCTAATAATGGGTAATAATATTAATAATGATAGTGGTAAAAATGGTGCTGTCTGGATGAGCATCTTGTAATATCACAAGACCAGTTGACCAAATGGAGCCATTGTCTCCTCTCTCTTTTTATTTTCCGAATTAATAAGGAGAAAAGAAACAATGTATATGAGAAAAGGGATTTGAGAGATTGTTTACTCTTTTTCAAAGCCCAAGGCATTTTTGACGACTATATGATTTCTATTTTTTTTTTGTACACAGAGACAAAAGACAGAATCCATGTACAACTTTTGACTCCCCCAAAACTTGACTATGACTAGCTTACTATTGACCAGAACCCTTGCTGATAGCATAAACAATTAACAGATATTTTGTACATTGTATGTATTGCACTGTTATTAAGATTATATGGAAGAGAAAATATATTTTACCATTCATGAAGTGGAGGTGGATCATTGTGAAGGTCTTCATCCTTGTCTTCACGTTGAGTAGGCCAAGGAGGAAGAGGAGGAGGAAGAGGAGGGTTGGGTCTTGCTGTCTCAGGAGGGGCAGAGGAGGAAGAGTTGGAGGAGGTGGGAGGGGAGGCAGGAGAGGCAGGTGTACTCGTGTAACTTTTATTGAAAAAAAATATCCATGTATAAGTAGACCCATGCAGTTCAGAACCATGTTGTTCGAGGGTCACCTGTGTGTGGAGTATTTCTTACTCAACGCTTGATGAAATGAATGCAGTCTTTTCCAAATCTTACGTTTCTCCTGTAACTTTGATGGTTGGTTGATTGGCTGATGATTAAATAACTCTGCCCCGTGCATGACTTGAAGAAGTCGAGCCACTTACGAACTCACTCTCTTCCGAGCAGATTACCCGCGGTGCGTCTTCCCCTTCATCTACCGGGGAAAGTCCTATGACAGCTGCATCACAGAGGGCAGCCTGTTTGGAAGCCTGTGGTGCTCAGTTACCTCCAGCTTTGACGAGAAGCAGCAGTGGAAGTTCTGTGAATTGAACGGTGAGCCGCTAGAGCGAGGACAGGGTGTGTGGCGGGAAGGACAGAGGACGCAGGGATCCTTCTGATGGGAGGAGACAGCAACAAGGTGGGGCGCAGTACTTCCAGGAGCCGAGTGTCTGCTCAGAGAGTGCACTGTGACAGCCCCAGAGACAGGAACGTCCTGAGGCCACGTTCCTCCAGTCTCCAATGCCTGGTGTCCTGAGGGCTGCAACTATGAGCTGTGCTCCCAACACTGGCTTTTGGGTGTTTCTGTGTCTAGAATTGACCATAGCCGATTCACCCATGGAAAGACCCCACCTGCACTTCAATGTAGCTTAACATTGAATCTTTCTTTATTTTTTAAAATTTTTTTTTGAGACAGAGTCTCGCTTTGTTGCCCAGGTGAGAGTGAGTGCCATGGCGTCAGCCTAGCTCACAGCAACCTCAAACTCCTGGGCTCAAGCAATCCTTCTGCCTCAGCCTCCCAAGTAGCTGGGACTACAGGCATGCGCCACCATGCCTGGCTAATTTTTTCTATATATATTAGTTGGCCAATTAATTTCTTTCTATTTATAGTAGAGACGGGGTCTCACTTTTGCTCAGGCTGGTTTCGAACTCCTGACCTTAAGCAATCTGCCCGCCTTGGCCTCCCAAGAGTGTTAGGATTACAGGCGTGAGCCACCACACTCGGCCGACATTGAATCTTAATTCTATTCTATACGGAATCCTAACTGAATAGTGACCAACATTCATTCAGTGCCCTCTCTGCACTAGACTCATCTACAATATGCTGTTGAATCTTTCCATGGCAGCTCTGTGAGATGCTTTTCATCCTAACCCATTTAATAAATGGTCTCAGTAAAATTATGTCCTTCTCAAAGTCACACCCCCAGGCAATGTCAGAGATAGAATTTTAAATTCAAGTGCATGTGGTTCCAAAGCCTACCCTCTCTTAGCAAGCATTGACACCTCGATAGAGATTAAAATGCATACCAGGCACTTATCCATGGGCACATTTATTCTTTCATAAAAATCTTAATTATGTTCTTCCTTTAGCACTCAAAAAAATCCTAATGACATCTAAACCTTCATTTTATTTTAGCTCTAGCCACCCATCACTTGTGTCCTTAACACTAAACCAACTTTATCGTTAAATCTCACTATAACTTTGTCCTAATGCTTAGCCTATTTTTTTTTTGAGACAGAGTCTACTCTGTCATCCAGGCTGGAGTTCCTTGGCATCAGCATAGCTCACAGCAGCCTCAAACTCCTGGGCTCAAGCGATCCTCCTGCCTCAGCCTCCCGAGTAGCATGCACTACCATGCCTGGCTAATTTTATATATATGTATATTTTTAATTGTCCAGCTAATTCCTTTCTATTTGTTTTAGTAGAGATGGGGTTCTCACTCTTGCTCAGGCTGGTCTCGAACTCCTGAACTCAAACAATCTGCCCACCTCGGCCTCCCAGAGTGCTAGGATTACAGGCGTGAGCCACCACGCCTGGCCAGAATTTGTGCTCTTAATCACCAGTCATTATTGCCTGTAAACCCCAACCTCTTATAAAATCTGGCTCACCTTAAAACACCACCCCAAAAAACTGTTAATTAGGCAAGACAGAGTTTATTTCTTCCTGAAGTAAGGGAGATTACTACTCTGACAGAGTCTTAATAGTGTCCTAAAGTTGTTAAGGTAAAGGCAGGATATTGATGAAGTCCTGGGCTCTGGTCTAAGGGGGAGTCTTCCAATGTGGGGGTGTGATTTGGATTGGGTTAAGTATTGTGATATAACGGTTTAGGGCCAGTGATCTTAGAAAGGTGAAGTTAACTTAGGACAGGGTTTCAAAGAGTCTTGAAGAGTGAATAGTATTTTGATACAGTCTACTGAAAAAGTTGAACAGTCTGATATTTATTTAAATAGTTTTTCAGGGCTGGGCGCGGTGGCTCACGCTGTAATCCTAGCACTCTGGGAGGCCGAGGCGGACGGATTGCTCGAGGTCAGGAGTTCGAAACCAGCCTGAGCAAGGGTGAGACTCCGTCTCTACTATAAATAGAAAGAAATTAATTGGCCAACTAATATATATAGAAAAAAATTAGCTGGGCATGGTGGTGCATGCCTGTAGTCCCAGCTACTTGGGAGGCTGAGGCAGGAGGATTGCTTGAGCCCAGGAGTTTGAGGTTGCTGTGAGCTAGGCTGACGCCATGGCACTCACTCTACAAAGTGAGACTCTGTCTCAAAAAAAAAAAAAAAAAAAAAATTTTTCAGGAAGTTCCTGGAATAAAACAATAAATTTATATGCAACTTTTATCTTTCTGTGCAAGAATTTTCTCTATTAGTAGAGTCAAGTTAAAGACGATCGTGGGACAGGAGAGTCATATTAATGCAGGCAGTGAGCCGTGGATGGTTTTGGTGTTCACTTATCCACAAAATGGGAATAAGAGCATCACCCAGAAGGTGCTGGGTGGGTTTGATGTTGTGTCACTTTTCATGAGCTAGGGCGTGGCACATGGTTTGTGTGTGATTAAATAGAAGCCCTTTTCATCCACTCTGCCTGACCTGCAACCTTCCCATGATCATTTTCAGAGTACGGGGGCAATTCTCTCAGCAAGCCCTGCATCTTCCCCTCCAGCTACAGAAACAGTGTGGTCTCTGAATGCATCGAGGATGACAGCAACAAGCTCTGGTGCCCAACCACGGAGGACATGGATAAGGATGGAAAGTGGAGTCTCTGTGCGGACACCAGTAATGTGGGGCGGGGGGTGGGCGTGGGTGGGGCGGGCAGGCAGAGCCTCGCCTCGTTCCCCCGCAGCTGATAGCCTGCGTGTCGGGGGGACTCAAAATTTTCAGCCTCTGTGTGTGTCCAAACATGACCACAGAAGCACTACGAGTATTGATGCTAGGGTTACCAATACGTTTTAATGAGTTGCAATGAAGTTGCAACCAATGAAGTTGCAAATATGGAATCCATGAAAAACGGGGATGCGTTGAAAGTCGTCCTCTGAGACAAATCCTCTGTCCCCTTCCTCCCCGGTCCTCCTGGTGACAGAACTCCTGGGGACAGGCCACCAGGAGCCCTGTGTGTTCACTCTGCCTCTTCCCCACCCCACTCTCCCACTCTATCTCCCACCCTTTCCCACTTTCTAAACTCAGAGACTTCCCAGGGAGGAAATCTTCTGACATTTAGGATTAGGTTAGAATTCGTCCCTCCAGGGGGCGCCTCTGAGCAGGGCCCAAACAGCACAACCAATGAATGCCGTCATTACACAGTTTTCGATCTGCAAGTCTGCACTGCTGTGCGAATATAACCTCTGTCTCAAACCCTTCCTCTCCCTAGGAATTTCCTCACTGGCTCCTGGCTTTCCCTGCCACTTCCCCTTCAATTATAAAAACAAGAATTATTATAACTGCACTAACAAAGGATCCAAGGAGAACCTTACGTGGTGTGCGACTTCTTACAACTTTGACCAGGACCACACCTGGGTGTACTGCTGATGCCACGGTGAGAGCAGAGACCAGAGCTGGGTCCTCCTAGCAGGGGAAGCTGAGGTCTGTCCCTCCCAGGCTGCCCGAGTAGCTGAGCTTCCCAGCGAGGTGGGCTCCACTTTCCAAAGACATGATACAGTCAGGGCTTAGGGGTCGGGGGAGACTGGACACCTCCCCAAATTGGAAGGCTGGCAGAAATTGGGATTTCTCTGGCAGGTGGGAGAGCAAAGTGGGGGATGGACCAAGTTTTTCAGACTCAGAAAGGTATTTTCTCAAATCTTAAGTCTGGGAGGCTGCAGGTGTGAAAGACTAGGAAAGCAGACTTTCTCCAACTGGAATGGGACAACTTAGAGAAGGGGACGTCCTTCTCTGGTCCCCAGAAGCCAAGGCACCATGTTATTGATCCATCACCCCCGTCGTTGAGTAGACGGCCAAGGAAAACATGAGGTTTAACTTCTCTTCCTTTGTCATTTGGGCCCCTGCCCTGTCTCAGCCCATAAATCACCAACTACCCCCACAGGAGAGCTTCGCCCCTGCTTTTCTTCTAGTCTCTGCCGTCTGGCTTTCACCTGGGCTAAGGGCAGCATCCTCAGCCTGCGGAATTGCTCTCTAGACCTCCCTCGTGGACCGGCTGCCCCAGGTGCTCTGCCATTTCAGCAGTCTGAAAGTAAAGAGAAGCCCTTTCACTGGATGTATGGACAAAACCCACTTTTCTCCCCTCCAAGGCGGAACAATATTTGTCCTTCCAACGCAATCTGTGGCTTACAGATGACACCAAATTAGTGACCCTTCCTGGACTTGGGCTTGGCGGTGAAAATTATCTTCCCAGAACAAGGGAGGGGCAAAGGAGGGGGTTTGGGACTCTGGCTACCGTCTTAACAGGGTGGGTGTTGAAACGCACCCACAGGGGACTCCAGTCTGTGGCTGGGACTAAGAACGCGTCTAGTGTCCAGCCGCCACCTCTTCCCATCACAGCAGAACTGTCTCCTTGCAGGTCCCCTCTCCCACCAGACTTGTCACCACAGAGCTGAGGGCGAGGGGCTCTTTGTTCCTTGACCTACCTGCCCCCATCAGCCAGGTGGGCGCAGGGTTTGTTTAACTGCTGTCGGCTCAGCTGCTCCCTCTAGCGTTTAAGTCTGGAAAATCAGGACAAAGTCATTTTCTTAATTACATTTTGAGCCCATACAGACTTATTACTTCAACTCTGGCCTTTGCTTCTGTTTTCAGGGAGAGGAGAAACATCTTCAGAGTAAGACTGCTGTATGGAGGCCGGAACATGCTTCGTTTTTCTCATCTCATCTTTCAAGCTTAAACAATCACCTTTAGAAACACCCTCTCCCTCACCTCTTTTAATGACCTGGTCCTTTGTGAAGTACATAGGGAACGTGTGGCATAAGCACCAATAAAGGAGTCCTAAATTAACCCTGGGGGTGGCCTTTTTTGGCTTTCTAGAATGAGAGGGATGGCGGACGTGCAGGGAAGACGTTGGCGGCTGGGTTGTTGAGTCTCATGGTGGGGAGATCACGCTCTCAGCTCAGGGACCTTCAGGGATAACTGCAGCCTGCTGTCTCTTCCTGGGAAATCACAGATTTGGGTGGAGTATTTGTAGATACTTATTAGATTGTTAATAAATAAATTAGGAATAAACAGAGGATAAAAAATTCACCGCCAAGAGTGCTACAATTATTCCTTCCCCGTGCCCATAGCAGACATCAATAATGGATTACAGAATCTGTGTCCCTCTGAGCCCAGAGGCAAACGCTCATTGTTTATTTTTGTTGTTGCTTTTGTTATTGTTGTTCTCTATCTCCTACTTTCATTTTCTCTCCTCTGTCCCCCTCCAACGCTCATTGTTTATTTTTGTTGTTGCTTTTGTTATTATTCTCTATCTCCTCCTTTCATTTTCTCTCCTCTGTCCCCCTCCTCTTCTTCTTCTAAATAAAACACTCAGCAATGGCCACCACTACTTCTCACTACACCCAGACATCAGAGGTATAGATTTAGCTGTTCAGCCTTATTACCGATCTGATTGTCAAGTTAAAAGGATGTTGCATAGATAGGTGAGAAGCCTGAAGACTTAATGGTGGATCACTTTAGCTCAGCCCCTGCTCTGGTGCATGGACATGTTGAGCTGCCCCAGCCTCTGTGCGTTTCTCGTGCCGGAATTCCCTTCCCCCTGGTCACCTGTGGCTCTCCTCCACACGCCCCTGTGACGGAGGTGGCCGTGGGCTTCCCAGATCCCCCTTCACGAAAGAACCTGTTGCCAAGCTTTGAGGAGTGCTGTCTGCAGAAAGCTTTTGGTGGTCGGTCCAAATCAGAGATGTCCTCTGCTTCCAGTGGCCTCCCTTCCCCAGGGCCATTTCCTTCCCAGGCAGGGCCATAGCCAAGGGCTGACCAAGGCCAGGTTTGAAGGCCTGGCTATTCCAACCCAAGCGAGACAACTCAGAAGAGCTGCGTTCAGAGCTCCCGAGGGCTCAGCTGAGGTTGTGGAGCCTGCACGGTGGTTCCAATCCAAGTTCCTCCCTTCCCTTCTGTAGTGCTGATCCCGAGGGAATTCTCGATAAATCTCCTGCACGCCGTCTCCACTCTCTGATGGGGAGGGAGCCCTGGGGAGCCCCACCTGAGACGCCCCATCTTTGAGAGATGCCCTTTTTGACTATTCTAATGAAGCCGTCCTTGCTCTGTCCCCAAATTGTATCTAACCACCCCACTTTATCTCCCTCAACATGTTCCTCTTGCTCCGAGCTTCTCTTAAGCAATTTCATGCTTTCTTGTCCTCCCACACTGGGATGTAACCTCCAAGAACACAAAGACCTTATTGGTGGGTTCTTTCCAGGACCTGGAATAATCCCGGGCTCATGGCAAGAAGCTGAGCCCTGCAAGATAGGAAGCCACTAGCCACACGGGGGCGATTTCAATGGAACTGAAGGAATTGATAGTAACAATTATTTATGAATAAAATTTTACTCAATAAAATAAGAATAAAATAAAATTCAGTTCCTCAGTGTCACTCACCACGTTTAATACTCAAGGACCACGTGTGGCCAGTGGCTACCATAAGGGACAGCACAGGTCTGGAATATTCCCGTCACTGCAGAAGACTCTGCTGAGTTGCCTTGAGGTCAAGGACCTCGTCACTGCTCTCTTTCCGTCATCCGGAACAATGCCAGGCCCAGAGCAGGGTCAGCAAATATCTTTTGAGCAGGTGAGCAAATGTGTGGGCGGGTGGATGGGTGTGAGCACAGAGGGAATGGAAAGGCTGAGCAAAGAGGCTGGAGCTGCCTTTTAAAGGGTGAGCTGCATCATGGCACTCCTCTGCTCAAAACTCTCTGGTGTCCTTACAATGGACCCTAAGAACATACTTGCATGGCTTGACCCCTGACCCTTCTCCTCGGTCCCTCTCCAGCCACCGAGGCTTCCTTGCTATTCCTCCAGCACCACAGATATGTTCCTGCCCCAGGGCCTTTGCATTTGCCCCACACTGTGTCTCAAACGCTCTTCTCCCAGATACACCATTTGTGCTCAATGAACTCCCTCTGCTCTGGGTTTTTTTTTTTTTTTCTATTTTATTCATTGCTACAGCTCCATGCTTGGAAGAGCACCTTGCACATAGCAAGCCCCGAATACACTGCTGTTAAGATCTAAAAGCAGGGGTCCTCAAACTTTTTAAACAGGGGGCCAGTTCACTGTCCCTCAGACCATTGGAGAGTGCGCACTGTGGGCCTGGGACGAGTCGGCTGCTAAGCAGGACAGGCAGCGCCGCAAAAACACCCAGCGGGCCGGATAAATGTCCTAGGCGGGTGGCATGTGGCCCTCCGGCCATAGTTTGAGGACGCCTGATCTAAAGGGTGGGAGGAAGGAAAGAAGGAAGGGGAGGAAGAGGAAGAAATGAAGAGTAGGAGGCTTCAAAACAAAACAGTCTCAGGACGGTGACAAGTGGCAAGGGGAGTGGCCACAGGTGGGAAGTCAGGAAATTCCATTATCCTGGTTCCACCTTTTCTTAACTTTTATTCTATAAAACAATGCTATTGAACCACGTGACCCATTTTATACATCTTCTTGATGGATTTCAAAGCGAGAAAAACGTGGAGGAAGGTGTGAGATTAAGTCTTTATTTTAACCCTTGCATTGCTGGAGTGTCCCGCGCTCGGGGGAGGTGGGGAGGAATCTTTCTCTTCTGCCTCAGAGCACAGGTGGATGTCAGGATGTGAGGGGCTGGAGCAGACTTCCTGCCTAACAGACAGACTCTCGCAGACCTCACCGCAACCCGGCTGAGCTGGGGATTTGGGGGATCCTGTCATCTCTCTTTGCATGATGACATTTTGCAGGGGTGCAGGGGGGATTAATTCCCCAGGGATCAGCTTGTTCTAAACCTTGATAATCCAGATTTGCAATTTAATTCGGTCCCCTGGGTATCTCACACAAGGAGAGGGCTGTGGGAGGCCAGAGAGAGCGAGAGGGAGAAAAACCAGGCTGTGCTTCCAGGAAATCAGGGGAAGGCGGGGGGAGCCCCCTTGCTCACTTTGAATCAAGGGGACCAGCTCGAGCCTGGCCGGCCCTGGCAGGAAGCCTGTCTGCAGCCCCGAGACAGAGGAGGTGCCTCCCTCTTGCTGAGAGAAAGAAATGAGCGGAGTCTAAGCAGTTGAAGCAGGAAGGGGAAGGGTAGACCATGCACTGAACTTTTTGACAACCCGACAGGAGAAAGGACTATTTTAACCCAAGGGGAAGCTGAGGAAGAGAGCTGGTGGGTCACAGGGACCTGAGGCTATGTATGGAGCCAAGAGATGTCACTCACTGTGGGGACTTTGAAGTGGCAGCTAGACCCTACTACTGCTCAAATACAGACGCTTCTAGCTCTATGGGCGCCCCCATCCCGGCAAAGCCACCGCCTTCAGTCTAACCTCCACCCACGCCGTGGCCTGTCACCCCCCGGCCCCCACCCTCCCTCCTCTTTGGGGCCACGGGGATTTGGACCTCAAGGGCTTGAGGGTAGGCGGTGTCGGGGGCTTCCAGGACCTCCTCAACGGGCCATCATCTTCACAAACTCTGCAAAGAAAAATCCCCCATGAGGCGCTTCTTTGTAAAAGCTCCAGACTTACCTTTTTTTTTTTTTTTGAGCTCTTCCCATGTGCCAGGCACCGCTGGTGACCACTGGCAGATTATCTGACCTCTCCCTACCCCTGTTTCTTCATCTATAAAATGGGTATCGTAAGATCGCTATTCCCTTATCTGGTTGTTAAAGTGGTTGTTAAATGACCTAATGCTCATAAAATGGATTAAGTATTCCATAATAGAAATTGTTAACATCTTATTTCATCCTTCCAACCATCCTGGAGGGAGGGGTAAGCGCTAGCTTACAGATAAGGAAACTGAGGCCAGCCAGGGTGACCAACGTGCCCGAGGTCACGTGGATGGTGAATCGTAACCCTGGAAGGAACGCAGGTTGCACCTGACTTCGCTAAGACCAGATGTCAGATGGACTTGCTGCGCAGGTTGGTGGTGGTGGGGGGGGTCACCCTGTTCTTTCCTTTCCTATAGTTGGCCTGAGGCTCTGTCTCCCACCCCCACCCCTTCCAGATTTTACTGTATGTTCTCTGTGCACCTGACCCTGACTAGATCCAGCAGGTGACCAATAGACGTCTACTGAGTTTCCATACTGGGACACGGAGTGGGTTAAGGTTTAGGGGAGACTCCTCCTCTGCCATCCAGAACAGAGGTGAACGCAGCTCAATACAGCAAGGCCCCCCCCCCCCCCGTGGTGATGACCCCCATGGAAAGAATCAGAAACTTCCTCGAGACTTCACAGCTAAAGACAAAGGGCAGCTTCCTAGCAAAGGCTGCCTTGGTGTGCGCCCCTGAGGGACGGGTAAGACGGAAAGGTGTGGCGAGTGGACAGAACATCAGGTACAAAGGAAGAGAAGTTGGAGTACCAGAGCAGGTGACGAGTTTGCACTAGAGCATAAAAATTCACAGAGTGGTTCCAGAAGGCACAGGCTAGGTGGGTGGGTGGGGCCAGATGATGGATGGACGTGGACAGCAGACTAAGAATTTTGGAGTTTTGTGTATAGGCAGCAGATAGACGCTGAGATCTTTGAACCAGAGAGTGTCACAGTTAGAACTTGATGTGCCCTATGTATTCCTCCGACTGAAACCCTCCCATCCACGCAGAACTCTGGTCTCTTTAATGTATTCAGTGATTCAATATACATGTGTTGAGCTCAGTGCTAGGAATTGGGGATGTGGTGATGAAAGATTTAGTCCTTGGCCTGAGAAAGAGACAGACGATAAACCATGATAAGCTATGGAGAGGTCATGGGCCAATATTCCTGCAGAGGTGACCACAAGGCATTGTCAGGGAGAACAGAAGAGAGACACTAAGCCCAGTAAGGGTGGGAGGGGCCTTTTGGGAGCATCACCAGGAGCTGGCCCATGGTGGGGGGGAAAGAGGAAAGGGTGCTCCAGACAGTGAGATGGCATGAGCAGTGACAGGGAAGGAGAATACAAAAACAGTGGTGCTTAGTGCATGATTTCTCTTAGTTTTCTCCAAAACGTTTGAGAGAAAGGTGTTAGCGTCAATCCCATGTTGGAGATGTGAAAATGGACACTCAAAGAGAGGAAGTGACTAGGATGAGGCTACTGCTGAGTGAGAGATGACCCTGAATGGGAACCTTACCCCAGAGTCCCAGCTGCTAGCCCGTCCACCCCCCTCGAGGGACGTGTTGTTCCTGTGAACCTGGACGGAATGGGTAAGGAGGGAGGGAGCCCTGAGCTCAGGCAGGGAAGGGCCTCAGGCAAAGTGTTCCTTGGAACCACCAGGTGTGACAGACACTGAGCTCTTTGAACCAGTCTGGGCAGAGAGGGATGGAACGAACGCTTCCGCCACCAGCCACCCCCATCCCAGCTCAAACTCGGAAAACAGTGAGGAGTGGCCAACTCGGAGAAAATCACACCGGGAGCTGGAAGTGGGGGCCCCCAGTGGCTGCCCTGCTACAACGTCACCTTCGAAGTCAACGGTGCCATCTCCATTAACATCGGCTTCCCGGACAACCTCGGAGATCTCCCGTGGGGTGAGCTGCTCCCCCAGGAGCCTCTGCATGGCCTGCTGCAACTCCGCCAGGGTGATCTCCCCGTCCCCGTTCGCGTCGAACTGGACAGGGGCAGAGGGGTGACTTCAGTGACAATGACAACAATGACAGCAACAAGAATGACAGTTGAAGTTCACACTGATCACTTACTGTGAGTCAAGAACCAACCTGAGTGCTCTGGGCACATCACCCGATACAATGTCGGCTCCAAAGGACAGTATTTTTTTTTTTTTTTAGTTTGCATATATTTTTCTTATTTTTAAAATTAGCTTTGTTGGGGTACAAATGACATACAAAAAGCTGCACGTATTTAATGTGTACAATTTGATGAGTTTGGACAAATGAATACACCTGTGAAACCATCCCCACAATCAAGGATATAAACATATCCATCCCTCCCCAAAGGTTTCCTTGCACTCCCTTGTTATTTTGCAGTGTGTGTGTGTGTGTGTGTGTGTGTGCAAGGGGTGGCGGAGTGGGGTGGTGAGAATACTTAACATGAGATCTACCCTATCAACAAAATCTTTTTGTTGAACATAAACAATCTAATTTTTTACTTAAAAATCAGATATTAACATGCTTTAGCATTTATCTTGTTTTTAAAAAATTTAAGAATATTATTTTTGATGGACAAAACATAATTGTATACATTTATGGGTTACAATGTGATGCTTTGACAGGTATACAGTGTGAAATGATTAAATCAAGCGAATTAACATATCCATCACCTCAGCTGCTTATTGTTAACATTTCTTGTGGTGATACGTTTGAAATTTACTCTCTATTTTGAAATATACATAATTGACATTCCCACCAACAGCGTGCCAGGCTTCCCTTTTCTCTGCATCCTCACCAACACTGTCACCTTTTTGATAACAGCCGTCCTCACAGGTGTGAGGTGAGATCTCACTGTGGTTTTAATTTGTGTTTCCCAAATGCTTAGCGATGCCGAGTATTTATTCATGAACCTGGTCGCCATTTGTATGTCTTCTTTTGAGAAAGTCTGTTTGGGTTCTTTGCCCATTTTTAAATCTGATTATATGTCTTCATGCAGTATTGTTGTTTACAGGCGTGACGCCATACAGCAGATCTCTAGAACTTTTCATCCTGCATCACTGAAACTTACACCCATCGAACAACATCTCCCCATTTCCTCCTCCCCTGTCCCTGGCAACTACCCTTCCTCTCTCTGCTCCTATGAGTTGGGTTGTTTTAGAGACCTCCTATAAATGGACTATGCAACACACCATTCGGCCTCACAAAAGGAGAAGATCCTGCCACATGCGACGACAGGAGTAAACCTGGAGGGTGTTTCGCCAAGTGACATAATAAGCCAGACACAGAAGACGAGAATTTTTAAGTGTCTTGTTCACTGCCCCAAGCTCAGTCCCAAGAACAGCGCTCTCCACATGGGCACTATGGACAAATCGTTTTTGGACAATATGGATATATATTTGTCGAATTAACGAAACTGCCTCCAAACCTCTACCCTCCGTACCCTTAACCAATCTACTGGGAAGTCTAGCACGGCCAACCTCCCAAACATATAGGGAGCCAGCTGTCCTTCTCGAGCTCAGCCTGTGCCAACTGGCTCAAGGCACAGTCATCTCTCGCCTGGATTAACAGGACAACCTCCTAGTTGGTCTTCTGGCTTCCATTGTGGTCCTGCTGTGGTCTGTTCTCTACACATCAGGGTTTCATTTAAAACATAACTCAGAGCTTGTCACTCACTCCCCTCCTTAAAATCCCTGATGGCTTCCTGTCCCACTCGGAACAAAGTCCTGACACGGTTGCACAGTGCGTAAGCCCCTGTCGGGCCCTGCCTTTGGGAACTCTGAGACCTTGTTTATTCCATGCCAATGTCTCTCCAGCCCACGCCTCCCCAGGACTCCCGGCCTGGTCCTCAAACACGCCTTCCTGCCTTACAGCATGTGTACGCTCGCAGCTTCCTGAGCCTGGAATATGAATCCCCTAGAGCAGGGCTGTCCCGGAGAAATACAATGCAAGTCTCATGGGTCATTTAAAATTTTCTAGTAGCCACATTAAGGGGGAAAAAAAAACAGTTAAAAGGAACAAGTGAAATTACTTTTTAATAATTGATTTTATTTAACCCAATATGTCCAAACTATTACCATTTCATCATGTAATCAGGTTAAAAATTGTTAGTGAACTATGCTATATTATTTTTATGCACACTGAATTGCATAAGACAGCATGATAGCATACTAAGTTCTTAGTATGTACTTAGCGTACTTAGTTAACATGCTTATCATAGAAGTTTACTTAAGTACACAAGTATACTTACGCTTATTATCCTAAACATACTAAGTCTTAATCCAGTGTGTATTTTTACACTTATAGCACTTCTCAGTTCCGACACTCAATTTTTTTTTTTTTTTTTTTTTATCAGAAATACTTGATCTGGGCCGGGCACAGTGGCTCACGCCTGTAATCCTAGCACTCTGGGAGGCTGAGGCAGGCGGATTGCTCAAGGTCAGGAGTTTGAGACCAGCCTGAGCAAGAGCAAGACCCCGTCTCTACTATAAACAGAAAGAAATTAATTGGCCAACTAATATATATAGAAAAAATTAGCTGGGCATGGTGGCACATGCCTGTAGTCCCAGCTACTCAGGAGGCTGAGGCAGGAGGATCGCTTGAGCCCAGGAGTTTGAGGTTGCTGTGAGCTAGGCTGATGTCATGGCATTCACTCTAGTCTGGGCAACAAAGTGAGACTCTGTCTCAAAAAAAAAAAAAAAGAAAAAAAAGAAAAAGAAATACTTGATCTGCATAAAGTTTACAGTTGAAAAAGTACATCCACATACCCAAGTTGCTCCAGATGAAAGTTTTCCAATAACTGAATCAAGTATTTTTTCTTAAATTTAAATAAATTGTGTTTAAATACTTGGGCACTTCTAGTCTACTGAATATGAATGGAAATTAAATAAATAATGTAATCGAAAGCTATTGAACTGAAATAGAATAAAAAAATCGGTTCCCATTTCAAGGGCCCAGTGGCCACATGTGGTCAGTGGCTACTGTTTTGGGGCAGAGCATTTCTGTGGCCACAGAAAGTTCTATTGGATGGTGCAGCTGTAGATCTTTATATGAAGCTGGGAGAGAAAAATCACACAGCTAGTAGGTGATCCAGCCTTCCTATGACAGGCATTAGGAGGAGAGGCCCTAACACTTGGTTTGGAGATTGCAGGATCTTGGATAAGATTGGTCACTTTCATGAACCTCAGTTTCCTCATCTGTATGACTGGGGTAATTGACTGCTTACTCCTAATGTGCTTTTGGTGGGGATTAAATCAGATAAGATATGTAGAGGCCTTGATCCATTGCCAGTGTTTGGAACATGTTAGTTTCCTTCCTTATTGATCCCACCATGGGTAGAAAAAAATTGGTTTTGGTGGGTTCTGTCCCCGGCAATGATGAGTCACAGACCTCTCCTTCAACCACCACCAGCACCCGGCACTATCAACTCACCTCTTTGAAGGCGTCTCGCATCTCCTGGACCCCGATCATCCCGGCCGTTTCTGCAAGCAATTTCGGGGTCATGAGCTCCACAAAGTCGTCAAAGTCCACACGGCCACCCACTGAGGATGGAGAGGGGGGATTAGTGAGATTCCTCCTGCCCCGACCATCCATTACCTCACTGCGGGCTTCAAGTCTGTTCAAGAAATAGACCGGCTCCCACCTCCCTGTCCAGTAAGAGCCGTCTTCGACCTCCTCCCTCCACTCCGCCAGCTCAAGCCCTCATGTCCCTCTAATCTCAACACGAGTGGACGGGGGGGGGTGACCTTCAGAACATCTCTTCCTAGGTTAAGACCTATGCCCCCTCATCTGTAGACCCACAGGAGAAGGTGTATGCATTAAAGAGCATCCAAGTCTCTTCCAGATATAAATATTATCACTGCCTTGAATTCAGCCTTGTTTGCTCAATTACATGCCCAGGAGCAAACGCAATAGCAATTTCATTCCAGCTTCGATCTCAAAATCAGCTCTGGTCTCCACCTAAAACCCCACTCCTTTTGCAACGCTATTCACCAACATTAGCTTCAACTCCAAGTTTGTTTCCACCATCCAACGTAGCTCCAATCTTGGGCTCCACTGAGGAAGCTTAATGGTGATGGTAATAGTCTACGTTTGACAAGAATCTGCTGGGGGCTAAGACTTTGCCTGCATTAGCATCTTTGCCCCTTCCATTCCACAATCGCATGAATTTAGGAGTGATAGCATCTTCACTCGACAGGTGAGGAAACTGAGACTCAAGAGTAGGGGATAACTCTGCTTTTCAAAATGACCACAATTACTAGGTAATAGTATGGGGACTTGAACACAGACCTATCTCTGTATGTTCCCCAATTCCACCCTGAGCCCTCCCCACCCCCAGCCATTCCTCCCACCCCCTGGCCTCACAGTTCATGCGGATTTGCTGGCCCAGTTCAGTCAGTTCCATCTCTGTGGGCATGTAACCCATCGTCCTCATGAGATTCCCCAAGTCCTTACAAGAGATGAACCCGTCTCGGTCCTTGTCAAACTCAAGAAATGCTTCCCGGAGCTCTGGAAGTTATGGGGAGAAGAATTTGGGGAGAACTTGAAACAGTCCGTGGGAAAGAGTGGTGTCCCTTGAAACTATCAATGAGGCTCCCACTAGGACTTCTCAAAGGAAAATACATCTTAGAAAACAAATATTTCAAAAAGGAGTGATATCAGAACTGTGTTAGGAAGAGGCATGACTCCTGAGACCACTAAATGAGAGCACTAAAGTCCTTCAAACTCTTGGGTGAAGTTATGGGGAACCTCAAAACCACCAAGAGAAAAACCAAAAATTTCTTTTTTTTTTTTTGAGACGGGGTCTCTTGCCTGGGCTAGAGTGCAGTGGCATCCTCATAGCTCATGGAAACCTCAAACTCCTGGGCTCATGCAATCCTCCTGGCTTAGCCTCCACCATAGCTGGGACTACAGAACTATTTTCAATTCATTCTAAAACTCATGTTTCACTCCTGAGTCTCTGAGACACTTGGGGATGCCTTCTAAATACTTTGGGATGTACTTAAACTGCCATGAGAGTGCCACCAAAATTACAGTTGAGTGGGAAGAGAGAGGGATGTAAAACTTTCATGTAAATCACTTCATACGGAAATACACAAAGGGGGCTGAGGGGAGGTTAAGCGGGTGTCGTTACCTTCGATCTCATCTTGTCCCAGTGGTCTTTCCTGGAAAGGAACGCAGGGGAGGGGGAATTGGGGGAGAGGTTCAGGAATCTGACATCCAATTCTCCAAACATGTCCCCTTGTTCTCCCAAGCTATACCTCCCCGTTCCTGTTTCTCTTCCCTTCTGCCTCTCCTCTTTCTGCTCCTGTCTCCTGACTCCCAGGCAGTGGCTCTCACCTCCCCAACTCTTCCCCCCCCTCACTTCTCCTCCCCCATCCTTCACTCTTGATCGCCCTCCTTCCCACTTTCCCAGACAAGCATCCATCACATTGTGTCCAAAGGGTCCGAAACACCCTGAATCCGATCTCCTCCTTTTCCAGATGAAGAAAGCAAGACTCACAATCACAGCTAACATGCTCAGAGTGCTGACTCTGTGCCAGGCAGCTTCTGTAACCCTTTTGTTTCAACCTCAGGCACTGCTCTGTGAGGCCAGTCCAAATATCATTCCCATCTTGCCCATAAGGACACCAGCGAACAGAGAGGTGAAGGAACCTGCCCAAGGTCACACAGCTCATAAGTGGCAGATCCCCTCCCAAGGGAGGGAGAAATTAAATTACTCCCTTGAGGTCGTGTGGCAAAGTTGGGTGCAATGCTGGGATTTGAATTCAGGGCTCCTGACTCCCAAGTCAGAATTCTTCCCTTGATACACCATTGACTCTTTTCCCATCTGCCTCCCTCCTTCTCCCCAAGGGTTAGAATCCCTTTGCAGGGGACCAGTATTTAACTTCAGGCAGGATGATCAATGCCAGTGCAAACAATTCCTAACACCTCTGACAATTTCCAATCATGGTTGCGCCACCTTCTCTCGCTCGTTCTCTCTCCTCTTCCTTCCTTCCTTCCTCCCTTCCTTCCTTTCTATCTTAATGCCTGATGATCCAAAGCATGCCCATAGGAATCAAGCAGCTCTGATCCTGGCACTTACTAATTGTGTAAGCTTAAGACAAAGGACTTCATGACTGTGAGCCCCTGTAAAATGGGAATGAAAAGTGTCATCAACCTCATGAGTTGATCTGAGGTTTCAATGACATCGAGAATGCAAAGCCCTCTGCACAGGGCTTAGTAAGTGGCAGCTGTGGTTGTTGACATCATCATCGTCACTATGAGTGTCTGCAGAAAAGAAAGATGATGATCTCAACAATGTCATCCCAGCTCCTCTTTTATTTTTCTTCCCTTTTGTCTTCTCCTTTTTGCTCCTGACTTCTGATTTTACTCCCTCGAAGGCCCCTGGAATTCTAGCTTCTCAGTTCCTGCTCTCCCTCTCCCCGCGTCTGCCAGGTTCCCACGTCCCCTACCCTGCCCAGTGCTGTCCCAGCCTCACCCGCTGTTTCTCAGCGATGCCTTTCCTCAAGAAGATGCAGGCGGGGCCCAAGGGGAACTGCATGGAGGGCGGGGCACAGCTCTGCAGCACCGGTGTCAAGATAGTGCGCCTTCGCCACCTCTCCCAGCCTGTCCCTCTGTCCCTGCGTCTCCCAGCTGTGTGACAGCTGGGGTGGAAATCTCCACCAGGCTGGGGAGGGATCAGAGCTGCTCCTGCCTCCCCATCTGGCTTGAGCGAGGTGGGTGGGGAGGGCCAGTCCCGGGCTCTGACACTCTGCTATCCCCGAGGAGAGTCGGAAAGTTCGCTTTGGAAACGGGGATTAGGGTAGAGGGCATGCGTTCACGCAATGTCCCAACAAGCATTTTGAGGGCTCCCTCTAGCCTGGGCTCTGGGCAGTGAGACGGAGAGGACAGGGGCCTTGGCCGCAAGGAGCTTTCCCAATGAGCAGGAGGCGAGAATCGGGAATCGCCTGGTGACGGGAGGTGGGGAAGTAGGCGAGCATGGTGATCAGGAGCGTGGCATTTGCTCATCCCTCCCTTCCATTCTTCCTGAATAATTCAGGGGGGAAGAGCAAGGTGGGGAGGAGTCATGGTGGGGGTGGGGTGAGAATCAAGGTGGTGTCAGAGCCCAAAGGGGTGATGAGGGTGTCCACACTGGGGCGGGGTGGGAGAGGGGGCTGGGGGCCATCTGGTGTGGGTAGCCGGGGGCGGGGGGTCCTCCTGGAGGGGCAGCATGGCCCAGAGTGCTGGTGCCTGAGAGCTGGGCATGCACCCATGGGAAGGCAGCTTGGTGTGGAATGGGGGAGCACGAGCTGAGTTGGGGGGGAATCTATATGCAGGTATTGTCTAGGGTGGGGGTCTGCACTGCAAATGGGTCACACAGGAGGCCACACGTGGGGGATCTGGCGTGGGCCCGAGTGGAGTGAGAAGGATGCCCACTCGTGGAGGCAGCTCTACCATGCAGCCCACTGCATGGTAGAGGGTGTTGAAGCCAGGGTAGGGTGGGAAAAGTGAGTCCCTGGGGTGGGCTGGCAAAGGAGAAGGGATTGGTTACACATGGGGGTTCTAGTAGGTGTAGGGGGAGCAGGTCTCCCACTGTTAGGAAGAGAGCTAGTAAAACAGAGGAAAAAGTAGAATGAGGACTGGAACTGGAGGCATTGGTATGTGCACACGGATCTTGATTGTAGAGACAAAGATAGACACGGTCTCAGTGTGCACGGGAACACTGGTATATATTCGCTCTAGCCCTCTCCACCAAGGGAACACAGAAGCAGTGGCACTCCAACATGAATGAGCACCTCATCCAGATCTTGACTTCTAAATACCATTCTCCACTAAAAGGAACCAAGGCTCCTAGGAGAAATGGCTGATTCCATGTCTAGAGCAGGAAACAAACAAGATGAGCCTAAAACATACTGTGCTTAAAGCAAGGAATTGCTCAGAGTTATGGGAACATGTTAAAAGAACACAGGAGGAAGCGCCATTGGCCATTACTGGGGAACTGGAGAATCAAAATAAATGATAGTAATATACAGGCCAACATGGGAAACCAGAAGTCCATATGGAAATGAATAAAATGTTAAGTTGAAAGTTTGCTGTTTCCTTCCTACAAAATACTAATTTCAAAGGAAAGAGTCACTTTACAGTGGAGAAACCCGGCAGACGCCATCTTAATCCAATGATCAAAATGAACATCATCAATAATGTGACTAACCGAAATCATGTGCCACCTGACAGGATGCGACGAGAACACGGCACTGCTTTTGTGATATTGCTGAATCCAGTCACAAGAGGACATCAGACAAGCCCAAATGGAGGGATGGTTTACAAACTAACCGGCCTGTACGCTTAAAACACCCCCTTTGAACTATCCCAGGGCTCCTTCTCCACAGCCCCCCAGATCTAGCAGCTCCCTGACCCCACCGCCTCACAACCCAGACTGTCCTCTGTGTTTCGTCTCCTTCCAGCATGTTCTGCAGGCAAATCTGCAGTCTGCTCCCCTGCGCGTGGTAAACGAACAGGTGTCTCTATGAGCCAGGTAAGGAGCTTCCCTGCTCTGGGTCCCAGCGGCATTTGCAATAGGAATCCCCACGTCCTCCTGTCCCTCCTCCACCGTCTTCACCATCATAGCACGGTGGCAAAATCTAGTGAGCCTCTACTATGTGCTGGGCCATGCCCTAAATCTGTGGTTCTCAAAGTTTAGCACTTAGCAGAGCCACCTGGAGGGCCCATCACAGCAGGTCCCGGCCCCACGCCAGGGGTTCCGAGGCAGTAGGTTCTGGGGGGGGTGGGGCTGACAGTTTGCATTTCTAGAAGGTCCCAGGTGCTGTTGTTTCAGCTGCTGGTTGGGGACCACATATGACAACCTCTGCTGCCAACCCTTTACATGTACCCTTATTTAGCCCTCACATCAGCCTTATGGAGGATGTCTCCACCTGCAGGCAACAGCAGACCCAAATGAGAGCTGCTCAACAGTGAAGGGACTTTGCTGTCACTCGAGAGCCTGGCAGCAGGTGGCTCGGGGTGTGCACCCTCTGCTCCTCTTGTCTGCCGGACTCCTGGTCTTGCTCTCCTCCAGCTGGTGGCCTGAGCGCTGCTGCAGGGCCAGAGGAGGCGGCCAGAGCCTAGTTCTCTCTGTGACAATCTTAGAAAAAGTTTTCCAGAAACTTCTTCCCTTTAGTCCCAAAAGACTTAGTGTTGCATTGGCCAAAGTTCCCACACACGTCAGTGTCTAATCTGACTCGTGGTGAGCTGAACAGGGCCACCATGACCAGTGCAGCCGGTTACACAGCACCGTGGACAGGAAACTCTTTCCGGAAACACACAGCGGGAGGAAGTTGGCACTTGGGGAGGACTTCAGAAGGAAGGGGGTGAAGGGCTATTGGGGTGACTAACAGCGATGCCCTTGGTTCCACCTCATGTGCCACTGCAGACTGACGCTCCAACCACTGCATGCCTGGCACTGTTCCAGGAGGGATAACGGTGAGCAAAACAGGTAAGGCCACCGCTGTGCCTCATGGGTGACGGATTCTGAGGCCACGCTAGGTCCCCAGTTGGTGGGTCACTGAGCCAGGGATCACACCCAAGTCACTGTCCTTACTGTCTCCTGAGAGGCCGAGGACCTTACTTGAAAGGTGTGGTCGGAAGGCCAGGTCGGAGCTGGCGATGACACTCCTGGGCGTGGCCCTGGATAAGTCACTGACCTTTTCTGTGCCTCCCTGTTCCCATCTGCAAAAATAGGGGTCATGACAGCACCTACCTGTAGAATTGCTGGGCGGTTAAACAAGTTAAAAAATATGTATGTAAAGACTTTAGACTGCTGCGGTCCAACACGATTACATGATATATTCACGTCCTTGGTTGTGGGGCCACATGGCAAGTGCCCGATCGCGGCAGGTGGCCAGTGGCTGTCACGCTGCACAGAGCAGACACGGAACACTCCCATCACGGCAGAAAGCGCCACTGGACGGTGCTGGCTCAGTTCCCAGCAACTGTCACATGTGGTACGAGTGCCACTTCTTAGAGCTTTGCCCCCAGAGCCCAGCTTGCCACAGAGTGTTTGACAACTATTTATTGAAAGAAATGCCCAGATGAATCCCAAACCCCGGCGTAAACCACCCCCTCACACATCACACACACACTCCTGACGCTCAAAAACCACAGACTGCGACACCAGACTTGCTGGAAAGTAGAGGCGACAGCCCTGAGTTCCCTCCACCTCTCGCCCTGCGCCCCGGGGGCAGGGGCCTAGTCCGTATCTTCAGGGTTAGAGTCCGAGTCCTCACCCTGCTGGTTCTGAATCTGACTCTGCTTCCGGTACAGGTAGGCCACCTGTGGGGAGACGGTGGGGGGCGGGTCAGAAGCTCCCTGGCTGCCCCCAGCTCCCGTGTTCCCAGCCAGAGGTCGCCTCTCTAAGAAGCTGGTCTGACCGAGACGCAGGGCGACCCCTGACCCCTTCCAAGGGCCTCACCTGGGCACTGCTGGTGGCCTCCTCGGGCTGCTTGTCTTCCCGGACTCGAATAAACCGAGGGAAGCGGAGGGAGATCCCTTTCTCACTGTCCACCTGGGAGGGAAGGAGACGGGACGGAGTCTCTCCTCCGGTCTCGCTGCGGTCTGCTGGCTGTGGCAATTCTCTGTCCTCCTCCCCCCTTGATGGGGCCCCAGGTTCCTGATCCAGACCAGGGGCTGAACAATGCTCGTTTTAGGGCTTAAACAAGTTGACAAAGTGCTTGGAACTGTATCTGGTGCACAGTAAGTGCTTAAGAAATGCCAGCTGCTCTAGCTGTTATTCATGCTGTTATTATTGCTGATTAGGGCTGAGAGGCAGAATAGCAAAGAGTCGGGGTGTGGGTTCTAGAACCAGAATTTGGGATTCAAATCCCAGCTCCCAACTCTCAGGAGCCACGTGCCCCTGGGCCAGTTCCCTAAGCTCCCTGGGCCTCTGCTTCCTCACCTGTAAAATGGAGACATTCATGTCACTATGTCTCAGGGCTTTTGTGAGCATTAGATGAGTGTGTGCAAGTGAAACGCTAATTATCATACAGCGCCTGCTTCACAGTAAGTTCTGGATAGACACCAGCTCCTGTCGCCTGTTATCAGGGCACCCTGGCTGTCTAATATGCAGCACCAGTGACAAATTAAAAAAAAATATGAGTTCCTTCTTTTAAAATGGAAGTCTGCTTCTCATCAGAAAATAATGTGCCAGTTTGGATTTGAAGGATAGAAAGAAATCACAGAGAGCACATTTTACTTCTGAGATCCACTGTTCTTTTGAAGGAGAGAGCTAAGAGCTTCCCAGCGCTGGCCACGGCTGGCGTTTCCCCTGGCGTACAACAATGCCGCAGCTGGCGTTGAGGTCTGAATCACCAGAGACAGAAATCGGCCAAGGAATTAAAAAACTTGGCAGCACGGAAATTAATTATGATTGAGGAAGAAACTGCGGCAGTCAGGGCGAATGCTCGCCAAGAAGCGTGCTGAGCTTTTGCTTAAAAGAACTGAGTTTTTGAGAATTACTTCAGAGCTGAAGGTGAGATTATGATATTAATGAGAGCAATGTCACTGTTTTCTTTCTACTCCCGGGGAATTCTTTCTCTCTTTTAAAGAAAAAGGGTTTTGACCTCATTATGTGACATTCAAGTTAAACGCAAGCGGTGTCCTTGGTCACTGCTCAGGATGAGCCGATGTGGCCCCAGGGCCCCTCCCCGCCCTGCTACCAACATTCCCCCCAGAGCCACTTTGCAGGGCACGCCCAGGCCCCCCGGTACTCACCAGGCCCCGGGCTGCGGGGTAGATGGGGGAGAGGGAGAGGTCTGCGCACTTCACCTCCCACACGGTGCTGGGGTCCAGCCAGTGGTCGGGGGCCGCGGCGCCATCTATGCGCACGTAGGAGCGTGGCGCGGGCAGCACCAGGGCCTGCGGGGGCAGAGGAGAGAGGACCAGGGGGTTCCTGAACCTCAAAGTCAAGGGCCGGGGAGGGGGGAAAGAGGGAGGAAATGAGGGAAGGGAACAAAGAGACGCAGACACCCCTTAAGTGAGGCGCAGGCCGTCGGGGCGGGGAGGCCAAGGCAATGGCCGCCACGGCTCACCTGGAGCTGCTGGTGATGCTCCTCCAGCTCCTCGTCGCTGAAGCCGGTTCCGAGCTGCAGGGAGGATGAGGCAGGTCAGAGGCCGGCCAGTGGCCTGGCACTTCCTCCCGGCTCCTACCACCTAAGGACTTGGACTGCGAGCGCTGGCAGCCCCACCTCCTTCCGGTCCAAGCAGCATCCATGGAAACCCGGGAAGGGTGAGGTGGGGGCTGAGCTTCCCGACAAAGGCTCCTGAGGGGGAGGGACTCTCCCGGCAGGACGTCCACTACCCCACTCAGTGTTCTGCTTCACGCCACACCCCTGCTCCTTCCACCCCGTCTCCCTGGCCCAGGATGTCACCCCCTCGGGCTCACCCACATCCCACCTGCCCGGTAACTTGTCCTCAGCTCCAATCTTAACATTGCCAAGAGCTTCCTTCACCTACAAAATACTACAAAACGGTAATACTCGATGCTGGCAGACATGCAGCCAGATGGGCATCCCTGACTGATGTAAAATATCAGCTGCAAGGCCCCTTTTGTATTGGGGGCCTTAAACATTTCCTTGCCTTTTGTCCCAACAATGGCTCTTTTTAAACATCTATTCTTAAAAAAAAAAAATCTATTCTAAATAATCTAAAATGGTGACAGATTAGTGGCCAAAGATATGTGTGAATTATAAAATCCCTTCTATGACTGCTTATTTGGGTTAATGTACAGCAAGTGCTGATGTTATTCATGAGAACAAAGCTGGTAACAATGCAACCACACAATTATAGGGAACCAGTTTGTGAAACTGGGACATATCCACTGGAAGTTGTGCAGGTGCTCAAGTGATATGGTACCATATCACTTAGGTGCATATGGTCACATTTAAAATAAAGTACTTACACGGCAAAAAGGCAGAAAAGAAAATTACTTATAGAGAAGGATCACAATTTTGCAAAAATATAAATATTCCATAAAACGTCCCCTCAAATGTTACTAGTGGTGCCTCTGGGATTCTGGGTAATATTTTTTTCTGTTTCTGTGGCAAAAGATGCCATTATTTTTGGATGTGGGAATATAGGAAATACATAGGAAAATCTAGTTACAATGTGCACAGCTTAAAAAAAAACATTTCCCAGAGTCCCTTGCAGTTGGGGTGGTCTGTGGAACAAAGTTCTAACCAACAAAACTTAATGGAAGCTGTTCGCTGGCTGAGGCTGACTCAGGTGGTCCACCCCTCTTTATTGTTGCGCCTTCCTCCTTTCTGCTGCTGGGAACATGCATGGCCACGATGGCTGGAACAACTGCAGCCACACTGTGACAATGAGGCCAGAAGCACAGGATGAAAACAAATGTGGGGAAAGAGAGGAGGACCTAGGACCCCTAATGACATGAGAGAGCTGCCTGCCCCCCTATATTTCTCATTACATGAGAGAAAAATAAATCCTCCTCTTAGGTAAGCTACCAGTATTTGCTACTAAATTAAATTGCTAACTGACACAGGCTCCTTACACCTTTCTATACTAACCCATTTTTCTGTTACAAGCAAGAGTTACTTACAGAATCAGAAAATGTAAATAAAAACTAGGAAAACAATAATCCTTCACAGAGAGGACATGAGCACATCTTGGTCTGGGCCCTCCCTAGGTCGCCAACAGGAGACCCCAGAATTCGAATCTGCTTTTCCCCTGCGTCTGCAGTCAGCCCCAAGCCCCCAGGACCTTGCATATGGCCTGCAGCTCCTCACTGTCCTTGTCGTACGAGGCCAGCAGGAAGCCCCCGTAGCGGCCGGCCCGCTTCCCCCGGCCCAGGTAGGCGCCGATCACCACAAGGTCCAGGGTGTCGCCCAAGCCGTCGAGGTAGTCCTTCTTCAGCTGGGACAGGGGGAAGCAAGATATGAGGGGGAGCACCCCAGGGGGAGCTCACTGCTGGAGCTAATTGGTGGGCTGGGGAGAACTTCCAGAAAGAACACTGAGGACGGTCCCCGTGAGAACGGACGAGGGCAGGGCTTCTCGGTGCACAAGGCTGTGGGTAGCCGTGCACGCATCCTAAGACAGGGAGGTTTGTGCACACAGCTGCTCCGTGTCCAGAGGGTCACAGGCAGGTAAACATGCAGGAAGGTCCCGCCAGCTGAGCTCCAGACGTCTCTTACGCTCACCCAGCCCTCACTGCCCCTTCTCCACTCAATCGTCTCTCAGCAGACGACAGACTCCTGCTCGCTCACCCCCACTTCTGCCCAGCGCCCAGGGAAACCGGAGGACCTTTGCAAAACGACAACCAGGCCCCGTGACTCCCTGCATGAAACCTCCACTGGCTTCCCGAAGCTCTTAGGGGAAGACTGGTTTCATCTGACGGTGGCTCCCAAGCTGCTGCGTGACCTGGGGCCTACTGCCTACTCCTCCCTCACCTCCCACCCCGCCTGCCTGCTGCCTGCACACGCCCAGCTTGGTCTTCCTTGGGGACTTTGAACTTATGGACCCCCACCCCCAGCCTGGTGCTCTGTCCCTGATTTTCCCGTCATCGACCCCTTTCTGCTGTCTAATCCCAACCCAAACGTTGACTCTTCCCAATCACCTAGGGGCGCTCCCAGACCTGCTGGCCCAGAATGGCCTCAAAATTCCCGTGGCGCTCATCACTGCCCAACTGTGTCCTGTTCGCTTGTCGCTGGCTTCCTCCCCGAGTGCCCGGCTGACACTGAGGCCAGCGCAGAGAGAACAGAGACCTCATGCAAACTTCCTCCTGGCATCCGCAGTGCTTGTGCCAGGGGCGGCTCTCAATCAACTCCCGGTGAACTCACTAACAAGGACCTGGGGTGGGACTGTGGGACTCTGAAGAGGGTCCCCGAGCTCACACAGGCTGCAGAGTGGAGCCTCCAAGTGACTGCCCAGTTGGGAGAGACTTGCAGACCGGGGCTGTGGTGGGGAAGGCCAGGTCAGGGGACGGGAAGCACCTTGAGCCAGTTGTGCGATCTCTTGGCGATCTCGTAGGTGGCGTCGACATCCAGGGTCTTCACCATCAGCCCCTCGCAGGAGTCTGAGGGAGACACACAGCGTGGCTCTTGGGAGCCCCCACTCACAAGGGCCGGAGCAGGTGGACTCTGGTCAAATCATCTGGGGTGGGGGCAGGCTGGGAGCCAGGGTCGGACGGGTTGCAGGGAGGCCACAGACCGTGGCGGAGAAAAGAGCAGGCGCCCTCACCTTTCACGGACTGTTCCAGAAACTCGGCGATCTGGTCGATGTCCTTGGTGTCCAGGGAGGTGGCGAAGACAAACTCACCCTCCGTCTCCACGAAGTTCTCCCGGAGCAGCTGCCGGCGTCGGGAAAGGGGCTCACGGACCAGGGACTGAGGGCGGGGAGGGAGGACGGAGGGAGGGGCGTTACTGTGGAAAGAGACAGTGAGTCCCGACTGCGAGGCAAGCAGGAAACACACGGGTCGCCAGTAGTAATGTGGTTTATAAAAAGCCTTGAGAGGGGAGAGCCGCGCTGGCGGGAGGATTCTGAGCTTAAAGCGCAGGGCCGGTTGCGGGCAAGAGGGGCTGGACACCGGTCAGAGCAGTGATCTCAGGAGCACCCGACAGGGAGCCTCGCTGGAGCCTGGATGAACACTACGGGCCTCCTGTAAGTCAGTGCCGGCTGAACAAAGGCACTTGGAGAACCACGGCCCAGGTGGCCTCCCCACTCCGTGATGCAGAGTCCGAAACGACAGCCAGACTCCTGGCTCCCAGGCCCACACACCATCCCCGTCTTCCCACGGCTGCCCCGATATGAAGCCAGAACTCACCTCTCCGTTGAGGTAGATGAGGTCGAAGGCGTACAGACACACCTGCACCTGGATCTCAGACGCATCCACCTCCTGGGTTGGGGCAAAATGGAGACCAGGAGTGGGGCAAGGTGTGACGGGGCTGGCTGGGTTCCCCTCGCGTGGCGCCTGAGGCAGACACTGGTCACCTGCTATTCTCTCTCCCGAGCCGACCAATGCTGCTGGCCCCAGGTAGTGAATCATCATGGCTCTCAGCTAATTCTGACCACCTCACTCCCCTTCACCAGATATTTGCTCTCCCAGCCTCCTTTGAGGGTGATGGGACACAGTTCTGGCCAATGAGATATAAAGGGGAGGTCTGGTGGGGTACAGGTTGTGGAGGTTCCCAGAACAGATCTTTCATAGCAAAATGTTAGAGATGTGGGAAAAGGACCCTTCCTCCCCTTCCTACTTGGGATGCTGGGATGAGAATGTGATGGCTGGAGCCGTGGCAGCTGTTTTGCAGAAAGGCTGAGAGAAGTGCACTCAGACTAACACTCTGCCCTTCTGGGATGGGGCAGGATCCATAGCCAGGCCTGGAAAGATGAGGGCGTATGGGGCCACGGCAGGCAGGGGAGGGGACCAACGCTACCTTGCGTTTGCGAGTGGTGAGCACTTGGAATGGCTGAATCTGCTTCTTTTCCCGGTCCCAAGCCACGGCTTCCGTGTCCAGGATGAAGGATGTGACAGACGGGAGTTTAATCTGAAAAGTAAAAGGAAAGACTCAGGGCTTGTGTGAGGCAAAGGATGAGATCAAAAGAAAGACATGGGGAAACAAATTTCCTTGTCCTTCCACAGCTCTCCAGATCCACTGACAAAGGACACATGAACACAGATCCCCACTGAGCGGAGGAAAAAAACTTTTCTGAAAACGTACTATTTAGTCCCACAAATTGGAGACCCAGGAACCTTTGATATCTCCCTCTTCCACTCACCCACATTCAATTCCCCAGTGAACATGTTAATTTCCCCTTCAAAAATCTCTCTGCAAGCTGCCCACTGCCCATCGCCCCACTGTGCTCAGCCACTTCATCCTACTGGTCTCCCCATCCTGCACTGTCCCCGAGGGCCACTCAGCCAGGGCAATCCTGACAAATGCAATCTGGTCACAGTACGTTCCTGCTAAAACCACCTTGTGACCCCCCAGTGCTACAGGGGTCTCCTTGTCAGCCTTGGCCCTCCCTCGCCTCACCTGGCTCCCAGCACGTGAGCCTCTAATGAGATGTGCCCTCCCACCACTGGGCCCTTGCACATGCTGTTCCCTGTCCTTCCCCTGCACTGTCCCTCACTTCCGCTGGGAAGCCTTTGCTCTTGCGAGGCACAAGTCCAGGGGCACCAGCCCTGCCGTGTCCTGGACCCTGGCAGCTTCCCTGACATTAAGCCTAAGTCAAGTCTGTTGCTCACACAGGCTTATAGAAGGAGGGTCCTTTTCTTCAGAGCCCTGATTGCACCTGTAATTACGGAAGCAACAGCAAGACTCTCTGGTGAAAGTCTGCCTGCCCCGCTAGCCTGTGGGCTCGGTGAGGGCAGGGACCGTGGCAGGCTTGCCTGTGTCGTGTGCAGGGCCTACAGTACAGGGCCCAGCTCAGAGCAGATGCCCAGTAAGTACTTGTTGAATGAATAAGCGAAAGAAGCCTGATAGGGAAGACTTTGTACCGTATACCACCAATAGGAAGCCCTAGAATATGCAAAACTAAGTATGGTGACAAAAAAGGTGATCAGGGGTTGCCTGTGGCAGATGGACGGTGGTGGGCGGAGGAGGGGGCTTGCCTGGCCAGGGGCACGGGGAATAGTCCAGAGTGATGAGAATACGGACGTGTTCTATACGTTGATTGGGTGTTGGTCACATGGGTGTATAAACTTGTGAAAGCTCATCAAAGTATACTGTGTACATAAAATCAGAAACTTTTATGGAAATTACATCTTAGTAAAATTTAAAAATATAGTGCTTGGCACTCAGCAGCAGAGCCACCAAGGCACATGCTGTCCTGTGGCTCTCGTCTTCACCACCTCTAACAGGCAGGATTCTGAACACTGTGTTCCCTGCTCTCTGGAAGAAACAATTTCCCAATTAATTAGGGGCAGGCAAGGAGAAAGGCTCTTTGATAGAGGAATCCTAAAACAGGCCGGAGACTCCCGCTAAGTGCAGAGAAACCCCCAGCTCGGGCCGTGAGGCCCAGCCCTATGTGACCCTGGGCTTCACTCTGGGGCTGGGCCCGTCTGTAGGCTGCTCCCTGCACCTTCGTCCCCACTCCCCTCCCTGCACCCTCGTCCGCACTCCCCCTCCCTGCACCCTCGTCCCCACTCCCCCTCCCTGCACCCTCGTCCCCACTCCCCCTCCCTGTCCTCCCTGCTAGAGAGGCTGTGGAGTTCTGTCACACCAGGGTGGCCACGGGATCCAGTGGCTGGACAGTGACTCTAAGCTGGAGTCGGCTGGGGTGCTTCAGAGGCACCTTCATGGGAGGGGACAGAAGCTAGAAGCCCTTTTCCCTCTGTCTTTCTGCCTGGAAGTGCGACATCTATTTGGGAAGCCATCAAGGGACAGGTACTGGGATGAAAACCAACCAGCCAAGGACAGTAGGGGACAGAGGCAGAAACGAGCCGGGTGCGCGAGGACACCAGGGCTGGGCCGCGTCACCGCTGGGCTGCCCATCTCCAGATTTCTTTGAGAAAAAAATACCTGCTTGAGCCACGCATAGTGGCTGCTCTGGCACCTGCAGCCAGATGATATCCAATTTCCTTCCAACAAGCCCCCACTGCCGAGCCGGCCCCTGCCAGTGAGAGTGCCCCGCAGACGCCCACCTTGGGGATGCGGCTGATGATGTCCGGGTACTTCCCGGTGTTATCTTCCTGGTTCCTGCTGAAGATCTTCACCTCCCCGCCTTCCAGAACATGGATCTGCCACAGTGGGTGGGGGAAGGGAGAGGAAAGCAGAGCTGAGCCCACCCCATGTGGTCCCTCCTTTCCCTTCTGGCTCCACCTTCACTAGTAGAAGGTTCCGGATGCTCTGGAGGAGGAACTGGTGCAGATACCTGAGCGAATCATCTCGGTTCCAACAGCACCTCCCACCCTGTCTCTGGAAGCCCCGTTGTCTACTCCTCCTTCCTGTAAGCACATTTGTCTTGCTAGGTGTACATCCCGATTTGCCTAAATGTTGTTACGCTGTAAATATCATTCTGGTTCCCACTGTTAGTTTATTAGCTCATTTTAATACAGTCTGGTCACAGGCCTTGAGCAGGGCTACAAACATGCTATCCTACGTGTGTACTGCTATCTCAAGAAAGTTTATATATATAAAATCATTGTCACTATCATGAATCATTTTGTTTCTTACTTTTTTCTCAACACTGTATTTTGAAGATCCACTTATGATGCTGAGTGTCTATCGAATCCACTATTGCAGCTGGCGCAAAGCCCTGCAGACGCCCACCCACATCGCTTGCTCTCTGGTCCCGGGTCACAGGACATATGCACAATGTCACTGCACTAAGAGGCCACACAGGCGCCTCCCAGAATGGCTGGTATAACACACCCACCCACCAGCAGGGCACAAATGGAGCCACGACCACAGGTCAGGACTTTTGACGATTTTGCTCTCAGATAAGCCTGTGAGGTAGTTGCCATCTCACTCCTTGCAGGGAGGTGGAAACTAAAGCCCAGGGAGACCAGCAAGGTCAGCCGGGCAGCAGGTGCCCAGGCTGGCTCTGAGCTCCCGTCTGACTGCCCCCGCCCCGTTCTGCGGCGCCTCCCGCTGAAGAGATGTGTCCCACTGCCCATACCTGTGCCCTCTGCCCATCGTATTTGTACTCGCAGGTGAAAGCTGCCTCCTCGAAGCGTTTCAGGACCTCGCTGACACCCCGAGTGGGATGGGCCAGCATTGGCTTCAGGGGGATGCCTGGCGGGGCAGGAGAGAGTGGGTTAGGGTAGACGGGGGCAGAGGGAAGGCAATGACTTGGGCCGGAACCCTCCTGTGTTCTGGAAGGGCACCTGGGACAACCCCTCTGCCCCTTGCAGCTAGCAAAGGCCATGCGACTGGAACGCACGCAGGAGGTGCTACGTCTGGGTCACATCCTCATGAGCAATCTGGCTGCCTCCCCTCCTCTCTGAGCCATCTCTGATCACACACACTGGGGTGACAGCCTCAGGAGGGCAGAGGGACAGGACAGAAGGAGCCTGGTCTTGGGTGATCCCTGGAACCAAGCCTCATACCCTCCTTGACCCCCAGCCTTGCTCTGGCGACTGGTGTGTGACAGAAAGCAATTCCCTCTGGCCTGCCCCGCCGCCCCTGGCCACCCGCTACGGCAGCTCCACCTCCACACCAGCGCCGGAGGGAGACGCCAGGAGAAAGGAATGGGTTTCAGCACCGGGGAAAGGATGCAGTTTGGGTGGGGAGAGAAAAGGCCTCTGCAGGTTCCTAGAGGGGTGCCCATGCGCACAGCGGCTCAGCGGGGTGGTGCTGCCGTGGGACCCGGGGGCCATACCTGGGCTCAGCCTGCAGTGCTCCGGGAGACGCTCCAGGCCATGCTCCAGCAGCACGGGGACAATTCGGTCCAGGTCAGGCACCTCACTGGGTGTGGGGTGAGAACGAGATGCAGGACAGTCTTCCCAGAACTCGCACAGCTTGGAGAGATACCTCAGCCCGTGCCCAGAAGCCCGGGTGCCTGCACGCGCCTGCCCGTCTCCGTCACTGTCACCGTGGCCCCTCTCCTGCCACTCCGTCTCCGTGTTCTCCCTCCGCGCCACCATCCCTCACTCCGACTCCGCCTTCCCTAGTCTGGGCCTGCTGTCGCCCCAGACCAGCGATTCTCTCCTCAGCCTACGCATGAGAACCACGCAAGGTCACGTTCGACTTCACTCAGCCATAAAAAGGATGAACGATGCCTTCTGCAGCAATATGGAAGGAACTGGAGACTATTATCCTACGTGGACTATCTCAAGAACGGAAAAGCGCACGCCACACGTACTCTCTCATAAACTGGAACTAATCGATGGGCACGCGAGCCCACAGAGGGGAGTAAAACTCGCTGGAAATCGAGCAGGAGGGGAGGGGCAAAAACCCACCTAATGGGAACAATGAACACTGCTCGGGTGATGGGCATTTATAGGCCTGACTCAAGCCACGAAAACATTAATACCCCCTTAATATTTTGAAACAAAAAGAAAAGCAGCAAACAAGGTTTTCAAGGCCAGGCTCCACTGCAAAGGTTCGGATTCGCCTGTTGGGTGAGGCCGAGGCCAGCAGTGGGTCAGTCCCTCCGCAGGCAGAGGTGGGTCCACCCGCCGCGGGCTGGGAGCCCTGCGAGGGCTCGTTGTCTGCGGTGCGCCCAGCACCCAGGACAGCCCTGGGGCACTTGTGGGACTGCGCTTCGGGCCTCAGCCTCAGACACCGTCTCTGGGGCACCCATCATCTCGCTGTCACAGCGCTGGGTCAGCTGCCGGTCTACTTCTCCCCACGGGGCCCCCCAGGGCCCTCCCCACCACTCCATGGACATCCTCTGCGACCGTCACAACCCCTCGCTATGTGTCAGTCACCAGCCCTTCTCTGGGTCTCTTATGGCCTTTCTGCACGCACAGCTCGCCTGGAACTCAGACCTCTTGATGCCCAGTGTCCTCACTCGCTGTTGGCGCTTTTCGCCTCTCCCGGGTCACTGGCGCTTCTCCACCTGCCACCCTCCAATCTGTCAGCAGGGCCAATCTCATCTGGTCACCAGCCTGCTCTCAGTCACCAGCCCACGGTTATTAATGTTTGGCAGCCATTGGCCGTCCCCCTTCACCTGGGCCCCGTGCTGCGCCCACGGCCCCCGGCTCTCACCAGAACGTCTGCTTCAGGGTCATGCCCTGCTCCTCCAGCCATGTCTTCCTGGCCTCTGCCGTCTTGCCCTTCCCAGCATCCACCACAGCAGGGGGGAAGCCTAAGAAAAGACCCCCAGGGGCTCCGGGATGTGCTCGAACCCCAGCCGCCCCAGGTCACAGTGCGTGGCCTGCTGTGTGGGGTGGCAGGAGCCGTGTGGGCAAGGGGTGGGGGCGTGGACTCGTGAGAAGGACCAGGGAACGCCATGTTTGCTCTGGGGAGGGGACAAAGACTGGCCAAAGGAGCTCACCTTGGCCTGGGGGCGTGAGGCTCACGGCCTGGGCGAGGGCGGCCAGCACGGACTGCTCTGCCAGCCCCAGGCGCAGCCGTCCGCTCAGGGACCTGGGGAGAGAGCAGGCCGGGGAGTGGGCCTGTCTGCACCTTTCCAATTCCGCCTCTACCTTTGCTCCTGCCTCCTCCGGCTCCCCCACCTCGACGCTTTGCAGACCCTCTCCTCGAAACCCAGAATCTCCCGGGCCTGACCTGAGAGATCACACAGCCCCATCTGACAGACGAGGAAGTGGACACCAGCCAGTAATGGTCACGACCACCAGGCAGGACTGGGAGCCCTGCAGGGGTGGGGAGGCTCGGGGAGGGCGAGTCAAGCACAGAGGGGCCTGGGGCCTGCATGTGAGCATCAGACCTGACCTGCCACAGGCCAAGCTCTGGGCCAGTGGCTGCGGGCAGGAGGCTTCACCTCCCTGTGCCTCTACTTCCCCTTCTGCAAATTGAGGGTGAGGACAACAGGGCCTGCCTCGCACAGCTGGTTGGAGAAACTGGCAGGACGAAGCACATGGCACGGGCCACACTAGAAACGCTCCATGACGTGGGCTGTCCATGGTGACTGTGCAACCACGGTCCTGGCAAACCCTGGCTTTGCACTGCGCTGCCCCTCAGGCCAAGGCAGACATCACCAGCCGATCACAGTATATACTCTACCCATGCGCTGAGGACCTTCTCTAGGCAGGGCCACCAAGGGAGGGACCCGCTGTGAAAGGGTCTGGGCCTGCGGCTTGTGCTCCTCTTATCCAAGGGGGTTCAGGGTGGTGGCTCTGGCCGCCAGACCCTCCCAGCTTTCACCTCCAGGCCTGCAGCCCCCTCATTCACCTGGCGATGAATCGGGCTTCTGAGTGGCGACAGGCAACAAAGAGGCTTTTGATGATGTCCATCTTCTTGGCTGTGGACTGGAGGAGGCAGGGGAAGCCAGTCGGTGCCTGGTGCTGAGGGGAGGGACCGCGCCTGCCCCTCCCCAGCCACCCCTCGCACCCTCACCCCACCCCATGTCCCAGCCCCCATGGCCTCCAGCTCTCAGGGCAGCTCCCTCCCCACCTTCATCCAGCAGACACTGAGTCTGACATTAGGTGCTGGAATCTCCAGGGGAGGCTCCCCAGTCTCGAGTGCAGGAAGGAGGGAAGGAAGCTCTGCACCCTACAGGCAGAGCTGAAGGGACCCATTCCAAATGGCTGAACCATTCACAGGTCCCCGAGCCGCCTGGGGTAGGGGTGAGCCCTACTTACAGCACTGCCAGTGAGCCTGGCGATGTCGAGGAACTTGGCGAAGACCCCCGAGGCAGTGAGCGGGGGCGGCGGCAACACGAGCCTCTGGGTGCTGCGACTGTTCTCGGCCACCAGCCCCACGTCGCCCTTCTCAGCCACCTCAGCCCGGACGGACTCCAGCTGCCGACCTTGGAGGGGACACAGCGGGTGGCAGTGGTGAGGGTGACAACTGTGGCTGTGTCTCCCTTCCCTGGATGCATTTTCTCCAGCTGTGTGTGCTTGTGGTGAGTCCCCTCACCTTGCCACTCCTAACACTCACCCACTTGGTGAGATGGCTCGGTGACTGTACCCCACCACACTGTGGACATCTCAGTTTTCTCCTGCTCAGCTCCCCTCCTGCTCGTCCCTCCACCACAGCCCCCTTACCTGTGGCCTGGGCCACTGCCTTGAGAAGGACGCCGTCCCCAACACCAAGCTCCAGGCCCTGCTGGGGTGGCCCAAGGCTGTTGAGGCTGAGGTAGAGGACAGGGAGGAGGTCTGGGGGTGACAGGGCCACCACGGAGCGCAGCAAGTTGCTCAGTGTCTCCACCATCCGGAGCCTGGGGAGGGGACAAGGGTGTGACCACCTGGTCCTTCATGATCAAAATGTGATTTCCGTGAAGGAGTGGGTGGGGAGGACACTAAAAGGAACCAAGTAAAGAGAAGGGGGAAGGGCTCAGGACTGTCCCAGGCATGTGACCCAGAGCCGCGGGCACAGGACTGGGGACAGAGAAGGGAGCCGCGTGTGGACTAGTGATGCTAATGTGCTGCTGAGAAGCATCAGGGTCGGGCATCGCTGGGAGTGGGGGTCTCTGGGGGGGAACCTCTGCAGGCGAGAAGGGGTCACCTCTGTAACCAAGACCCAACTTCCTTTCACTAACATGGAGACATGGCAGCAAGACTGCAGTCATCCTCAATGACTTCAGGTTGATTTAAAATGATCACACACTTTCTGTAGTCCCAGCCATCCCGAGGAGGAGCCTGTTTCCCTACACCACAGATCTGGGCTCAACCTCGTGTCTTGCTTCGACTAAGAGAATGAGGCAGAAAGTCAAGAGGACTTGCAGCCACTCTCGTGACCTCTGTGGTCCATGACATTGTGCCTGAGTGTGGGGAAAGGCCAGGTTGGAAGGGTCAGGCAGTAGCAGTAGTGACTGTCATGCAAATGACAGACAGAAGAGCTCCCACCCAGACAGGCCTGATTAATTACCGGGCAGAAACCTCCTCGATTTTCTCAAATGTCCGGGCCACGGCCAGATAAGGGACCCTGGGGAAGAAAAAGAGACACAAGTGCCATGTGTACAGCCTACACTGTCCTCTGTCTGTGCCGCTTTCCCTACACCTCCCTAGGGACAGCCCTGCCAACACCCAAATGCATGAGAGCAACCCTGCTCACTGCCCAGGGCTCTCTGTCCCTTTCAAAGCTGCTGTGTTCCCAAAACACAAGAGGGACAGGCATGGCCGTTTCCTCCGACCAAAGCTCTGGCTGAAAGCCCCCCACAGCAACAGAGGCTGGAGCAGGCAGGCTGGCGAGGGAGAAGTCTCACTTCTGGCCTGGTTTCCAGCAGGCATCTTCAATGGGATGGTAGTTGTTCTTGGCAGGATTGTAGCTGGTTGGGTCCAGGGGTCTGTGTAGCAAAAGGGAGATAACTGGGTAGATCCCTGGGCCAGGGAGGAATCAGTCCTCCCACCATGATGTATGTGCCAGGCACTGTTCAGAGCACAAGGGCACAGACGTGAATGAAAACAAAGTTTGCTAACGCAAAGCTTACATTCCAGTGGGAGAGTCAGAAAAAAGAAAACAAACCAATAAACCACATAAACAAATAAATAATTTTAGGTATTAAAATGGCTAAAATATCTGCTTCCTCCATAGGATTATTGTAGAGATAAAGTTAACATACCACTTAACCTCACTAATAAGGTCTCAACTTGGGGTGCAAAATTGATGTTTAGAATCCCCCAAATGTTTTTATTAGGATAATTAAACTTTTTTTTTTTTGACACAGAGTCTCACTCTGTTGCCCAGACTAGAGTGCCGTGGTGTCAGCCTAGCTCACAGCAACCTCAAACTCCTGGGCTCAAGTGATCCTTCTGCCTCAGCCTCCCAAGTAGCTGGGACTACAGGCATGCACCACGATACTCAGATAATTATATGTATACATATATATGTGTGTGTGTATATATATATTTAGTTGTCCAGCTAATTTCTTTCTATTTTTTTTTAGTAGAGATGGGGTCTCGCTCTTGTTCAGGCTGGTCTCAAACTCCTGAGGTCAAACGATCCGTCCACCTTGGCCACCCAGAGTACTAGGATTACAGGCGTGAGCCACCACGCCCACCCAGGATAATTAAACTTTAACCATAGAATTTTAAAGCTGAAAGTTTTTTTGTGCTTACATGTTTTATTTTTGGAGGCATAAAATAAAATCAGAGACTTTTGATCCACTGCATTATACTTTTTAACCCAGTGTCCTTTCTGCTAAACAGCAGAAATTGTGCCAAACCCCACTTTTTGCCTTTTCTGTTAATTTCCTACTATTCTTAAAGTTGGCTGGCCTCGGGGGTCAGATGTTGGGCCTCTTCTCTTCCTTACTGTACTTCCTTCCTTCCTTACTGTAACTCCCTGATGATCACCTCCAGTCTCAACTCTAAATTCCATCTGTATGCCGATGATTCCCAACTCTTCACCTCCAGCCTCAACTTCTACGAGGAAATCCAGACTCGCATCCAACTGCACCCTTCATGTTTCCACGTGGATGTCTGACAGATGTCTCCAGCTTAATATCGGGCAAAACTTCTACCCTAAATCTGCTCTTCCCACCCTGTCTTCCCTGCCCCAGTCAATGGCAATCCCGTCCTCCCCATTGCTCAGGCCCAAACACTTGGTGACAGCCCTGACTCTTCTCTTTAGTTCACATTCCTCGTCCATCCGCTGCAAATCCCAGCTGCTAAGATTGGATCCCAAATTCGGCACTTACTACCTCTACCATCTCTTGCCTAGAGTATCGCACTAAACTCTTCCCTGGTCTCTCTGCTTCCACCCTTGACATTGTTTAGTCTCTATCCTCACCACTGTAGCCAGAGAGATTCCATTAAAGTACAAATCGGATTTGTATACCACTGACTTTTCATGACCCCTCTCAAATCAGACTTAAGAACCAAAGTCTTGACAAAGGCTTACAAGGCCCTGTCACAGGCTGGCCCTGACACCTCTGACTTCATCTCCTACTACTTCCCCCTTCGATTACCACAGGCGTGCTCTCACCACAGGGCCTTTGCACTTGCTATTCCCTCAGCCTGGAACATTCGTCCCCCATGGTTCATTTCCTCATCTCTTTTAAGTCTTTTTTTTTTTTTGAGACAGGGTCTCACTTTGTTGCCCAGGCTACAGTGAGTGCTGTGGCGTCAGCCTAGCTCACAGCAACCTCAAACTCTTGGGCTCAAGCAATCCTGCTGCCTCAGCCTCCCAAGTAGCTGGGACTACAGGCATGCACCACCATGCCTGGGTAATTTTTTCTATATATATGTCAGTTGGCCAATTAATTTCTTTCTATTTATAGTAGAGACGGTGTCTCACTCTTGCTCAGGCTGGTTTCGAACTCCTGACCTCGAGCAATCCACCTGCCTTGGCTTCCCAGAGTGCTAGGATTACAGGTATGAGCCACTGCGTCGGCTTTTTTCAAGTCTTTTACTCAAACTTCCCCCTTCCCAGTGAGGTCTTCCCTGACCTCCCTATTAAAATTTGCAACCTATTAAAATTTGCAACCTCTCCCCTCCCCATTCTTGCTCCACTACCGCACTCATCACCATGTGACAGATTTTGTTCATTTATTCTTTATACCCTGTCTCCCCCATTAGAAAACAAGCTCGATAAAGCATGATTTTTGTCTGATTTGCTCTCTGCTAGATCTCCAGCACTTAAAACCACTGCTTGGCACACACTGAATCCTCAGTAAATATTTACTGAGTAAATGAATAAATCCATGATTGACTAATGGAAAAAATCTAAATGTACTCAGTTAAATCTGTTTGTTCATCATACATTGCCTGCACTTCCTACGGGCCGGGCCCAGTGCCAGGAGCTGGGCAAGAGGACTCAGCCAGTCCTGACTCTGTGGGAAGGAGCTGGCAGTCTGGTTGAGGAGGCAATTTACCATGCGATAGGACATGAAAGCAAGTGTGACTCCAAGTGCTGGGGACACACATCAGCTGTGACGGAAGAAGAGGGACCAAGCTTCCCCAAGTGGGTGGGTGCAACATGAGCAGGGGCCTGAGGAGTATGTTGGGCAGGGTGGGCTGGGGACAGTGTTCTAGGCAGGGCCAGCACACTCAGAAGCAGGGAGGTGACAGGAAACGGTGCTGACGGGAGCAAGGAGGCTGGTGATGGCAGGAAGCTGTGATGTGCGGTGGGCAGGGCTAAGTCACAGGGCCCTGAGGAGCCCAGTGTCCATCCTGGGGTGCTGGGATCACAGATGGGTTTTGAGCAAGGCAGGGATGGGTCTGATCTCATTACTTTATACGATATTTATCTATCCACCCATCCATCCAACCAATCTTCAGCGAGGTCTCCTGTGTATTTATCAGGCATCAAGGGAATCAGCTCAGACATCTCTCCAAAGAATTAACACAATTACGATGAGACAATTAATTGTTTAACAACCTATTAAGTGTGCCACAACCCCAGTACACTGTGCACAGCATGAGGGCCAGGGCAGGGCAGAGCAGCTCTATATGGTTCATCGCATGGGGCGCCCAGGTCTGGCCCAGAGAGCTGTTCAGTAAAGTTTAAGGCAGAGCAGACTTGCCTGCTGGCATTCAAAGCACACTCTATATCTGGCAAGTTCAGTGTGACAGGAACAATCTGGTAATAAATGAGGCCAGAGAGGTGGGCAGGGGCCAGTGTCCAAAGGGGCTTAGATTCTGTCCGGGGGCACTGGGGAGCCATCAGAGGAGCAGGGTCATCTGTGGGGTGTCAGAAAGATCCCCCAGACCCTGTGGGGGTCAGACTGAGGATGAAAGACTGAAGGCTGCTGGTCAGGAAAGTGGCTGGGGTGATGGGTAGGCAAATTCCGCCGCTGGACTATTTCTGCATGGTCTAGGAGCTAAGGGTGGTCGTGCAACAGGGGCAAACGTGGCCTACGAAGCCTAAGATATTTCCTATCTGGCTCTTTTCAGAAAATGGTTTGCTAAGCCCTGAAAGAAGAGGAAGGCTGGGCTGGGAATGCAGGGAAGGGAACGTGCCCAGAAGACATTTTCCAGACCCGGATGTTGACTCACCCCTTGCTGTCCTTCCCTGGAGCGCCCGGCCCCTCTTCTTTCACTTCTTTTTTGACTGCTGGCTTCCGGGGTGCTGGGAATAAACCAGGAAACGGTGGGTCTTTTCCCTCTCTGATAGCACCCACCTTTCCAGCCGTTCTCCACCCAGCACTGCCCTAACACTTGGGGAGACAGGTGACAGCCAGGAGAGAGGAGGTACACTTTCCAACCAGCAGGAAAGCCAGAAGGGATGTGCGGCTCACCCACCTCCTGCCTGCACAAACCCGGGGAGGTGAGGCGAGGAAGAGAAACTCACTGAAGAAGCTGCTGAGCGTCTTGGGGGCTCTGGGGGGAGGCTTAGTTTCGTCCTCCTGTGCTTCCTGCTTCACGGCCACCTTGGGCTCTGAACTGCTTCCCTTCGGCTTCTCTGCTTCTAAAGCGAGAGAGGTGAGACGGTGATGGAAACTGTTTCGACCTCAAGACTTGTTCTGAGCTGAGATCTCAGGCCTGATGTTTACTACTCAGTGCTAAGTAATGAAATTCCAGGATTTGGCCTGAAATTGGAGACTTGGGAATAGTACTGTGTTTCCCCAAAAATAAGACAGGGTCTTATATTTATTTTTCCTCAAGAAGACACCCTAGGGCTTATTTTCATGGGACGTGTTATTTTTAAGTATGGTACAACAATCTACATTTATTCAAATATAGTTAAGTCATCTTCTGGAACATCACCATAACTCTCCAAACCCCGAATTCCATCCTGAATTTCTTGCAAATCTATTTCCTTTAGAATCATTGGCCCCAATCTCTCATGTTGAGCAATAGAGCTCTCATTAAATGAGCAGGGCTGGCTTATTTATCAGAGATGCAGTGAGCGCTGGGTCCAATCTGCACAGTGGAGCAGAAGTGATCTCTCTGGGCTCAGTAGGAGATTGCTTGCTGAAGCTTTTCCCCTACCTCATGGTGTTTGTGGGGGATGATGAGAGGCCCACAGTGCTGAGCAAAGTGGCAGCCACAGCTTTCCTTCTTCCCCCTGGGGACACACAATACCTAAAGCGGAGCATCCTGCTCCTCACTTCACCGAGACTTTCCCCTCAAAGCCTCATCTTGCAGCCCGCACAGGATGGCCGGGACCTGACAGGGGGAGCCGACCTTGTTGGTGGGGCTGCCCACACCTTTCTGGTCACCTCTGGAATAGTAGCTGTCATGATGGGGCAGATGAGAAGGGCTGCTCACCTTCTTTGCCGCTCTGCGACGAAATGCATGGGTTGTGCAGATCCGCTGCGTAGCCACGCCCATCACTAGGGCTTATTTTCGGGATAGGGCTTATATTGCGCAAATGCTTAGAAATCCTGCTATGGCTTATTTTATGGGTAGGTCTTATTTTTGGGGAAACACAGTAGCTAAAAGAAATCTCACCATGATTAGAAGAAAATATTCCTGCTTCTGCACATGCAAAAAATCAGACGCAACTCTACATACCTAAAATTGTCCCTGTAAGTGTTGTTTCCAAAAGACGGGTTTCATGGACACTTGGATTGGAGGGGTCATTCTATGGGCTGTGAGAATAGCCTAACCTCTAAAACACTGTAACTTGGCTTCATTAATAAATTAGTGCTTAATAACTTAATTATTAACTGATAATCCCATACCTCAGCTTAGTTAATAAATTATTGCTCAATCAATGACATTTAATATAATTTCTGAAAGCTACGAATATTTGTTGGAGAATGATTGGCTCTTTCCTCTTTTCCCACATGCATGAGGGAAAATAATTTTAAAAAGCAATAACAATAATAAAACCTATGATTCTCCTAGATTTCGCATTTAAACAATACGTTTGAGAACCTAAGTCTTCTTTAAATTAACAGTCCACCAAAGATAACTGACCTGGATGGGCACAGTGGCTCACACCTGGAATCCTAGCACTTTGGGAGGCTGAGGGAAGAAGATTATGTGAGGCCAGGAGCTCAAGACCAGCCTGCACAACATAACGAGACTCCATCTACACATACACACACACAAAGATATCTGACCTCAAAATCAGGGAGATTGGGCTAGGGGCAGAAAGAAGATCAGAAACTCACTGGAGGTCTCTACAGAATTGGGAGGTGTCATGGGCTGGTCCCCCTCTTCTTCTTCTTCTTTCTTTGTTGCCACTTCAGCCTTTGTTAGGCTTTCTTTCTGGGTCTCTGCTTCTGATGACAGACAGAAAAGTGAGATGGGGAAAAATCAGTGACTGCCAAGGACATTTCGACTCCAGAGACATTCTGGCCCAACTTGTTCTTTCTGGTACCCATCAAGTATGTCTGTAAAGTGACAAGAGGCACAAGACCCTGCTCCTGCTCAACTATGCGGCAGGCAGGACGCTCTGAGGGGATCCAAACCCTATATTTGCCTGTGCGGCTGAGAAACAAATACAGTCAGTTTTTCCTTATAAACTATTCTTTTAGAATTATTCACTCCATAATAGAATTTGAAAGTGTTCGAAACGCATATGATAGCTTGTTACAGACAAAAATAGAATTTTTAAAAACTGACTGGAAAAAAAACCCCATACCTCTAAGGTAACAATAAAAACTGCAAAAACTAGGGAAACATTTGCCTTAGTATAAAGAGGTCACTTCCTCACTGCCCCCACCTCCAAATGACAATAGCTAAAACTGCACAATTTACAATTACTGACTAAAAAGTTGCCAATAGGAAATGAAATCTTGACCAAATTCAAATCTGCCCTGGAAAAACTGAGCCTAGTGAGGACTTTTTGTTAAACAAACAAAAAACCTGACAGTGAAGAAGGCTGCGGTTGATATACTCTCATCGAGGCCCCAAACAATCAATGGATCAGATCTTTATGGCTGTTTTCCACACGCACCAAAATGCAGGCAACTCACAGGAGCACTGCAGGGTATTTTACATCTTCAGAGGAAACCCAGAGACATCTGTTGAATGCTGCGTGAACTACTAGCTTGAGGTCTTTTAGTTTTCAGTATTAGATCACATTCCCTGCAATGATGTAGCTCTGCAAAGCTAGGTATTCACTGGTTGCTTTTATAAAAATCAAGTACTGCACAAAAATCACCCATGGAACAGGAAACGAGGGTGGCAGTTTCAACTGGATTCCATGGCTTGAGATGTTTCGCAGTACCTAGTGCACAACCCATTAGTAAGTAAGTGGTTACTTAGGAACAAAATACAAATATTATTTTTTCTTTCAATGTATATGGATTATCTAATAGTTGTTTGGACATAACTACTTAATAAAAGGAACTGTTAAGGTATGGGCCTAGGGGAGCTATGAAAAAATTACTAAGACAGGAAGGGTGCTGTACGCCAAGAAAGTTTGGGAACCTCTGCTTTATGGCAAACTTTATAAGAAAAAGAAGTCATTTAGAGGAAAAATATTTTCCAGTAAATAAACATAGAAATGGAAGCTAAGGATGGGAAACTGGGTATGAAGTAATGCTGAATTAAGATGGCAAAACAAATGTACTAAACAAATGTATTCCAAAATGGTTTCAAGACAAAAGTGCCTGCGTTGGTCCATGGAATTCTGACTGACACTCTGGATGCTGAGACTCAGCAAGAATCAGTGGGGTCCAAACATCCTGGACCCTTGGGCCCTTGTCCTCCCTGGTCCCCTTAGTGTACACAAATGCAGTTCTTACCTGCTGGTGCCTCACCTTCTTCCTCCTTCCTCCTCTTGGCTTCTCGGTCCTTGTCCTTACTCTGCTCCTCTAGGACGTCCTGAATTGTCCGTTTGGGGAGCTGCTTCCGAGCTAGGAAAGCAAAGGGCTGGGTGTGGTTGACCTTGTGGCCTGTCTGCTTCTGCCCCACCGAGCTCAGACCCACGATGGCGCCCTACAGAGACTCTGAGCCCCGTCCCCTTCTCTGCCTACCCACGGCCACCGCTCCAGCACAGGCCTCATCCTTCAAGCCCTGCTGCTTACTGGCTGTGACCTCGAGCAGGTTACTTAATTTCTCTGTGCTTTGCCTGACCATGTCTGCAGAATGGGAATAATGCCAACGTGTAAATGATGATGTAACATGCTAGGCACGCTACCAGCTCCAGAAGGTGCTCTCAGTGTCTCCTTGCATCCCTGGGATCTTACTACCGTGGGTTCCAGAACCTCAGAAGTCTGGAAGCTGCAGGGAATGAACTGGCCCTGGAAGTGGCCCTCCCCAGTGACTGACGGGAGTAGGTATCAACACCCAGCTGCCTCGCGCCTCAGGGTAACTCCAAGACACATTCACGCTGTTCTCTATGGCACCCCACTGAGGTGGCTGACCTAATAACACATCCTGTGCTGGCTGCCTCCCCTGCCTTGAATCACTGTTCCCTGCATCTCCCAGGGGAACAACTTGCACTTGAATTAACCAACCGGAGCCCTGAAGGACAGAGAAGCCCTTCTCTCACCCTGTTTCAGAGCTTCAGAGCTTGCTTGTAAAGGGTTCCAAACAGAGATGCTAACCCATGGTGAGGAGCTCACTGAAAGGCTGTTACGATCATTCTCACATTACCTCTCATCTGGGCCACTGCACCACCTCCTCCCTGGTCTTCCAGCCCCCAGTGGCTTCACAGGGCCCCAGAGGGACCTTCAGCCATGACTGACATTGTCCCTCCTGCTCAAAACCCTTCCGTGACTCCACATTCTCCACTTTATCCAGGATAAAGTCTTCTGATATCTACTGATACCCTACCTAATCTCTCTCCACCTGACCTTCTAACTCTTCCCATGCCAAATAATTCACTTTCTTTTATAGTGTCGCCAAGCTAAATGGGCAGCGTTGACAAACACACCAATCTGTGTTACTCCTCTAGGCCCTGCACATGCTGTCCAGCAGCCCTTTAGACACAGCTCAATGTCACTGCCTCTGAGAAGAATTCCCTGACACACCCCCAGGGCTGACCTTAGTGTCTGCCCTGAGCTCCCAGCACGACCTGAGCCACTCTGTTACTTCATCACGATCCCCTTCATGCAGGCCTGACCCTGTCACACCCGGCGCACAGCCCTACACCACGGCCCCCAGCACCCCCTGGACAAAGCCCAGGCTCGTCAGCCGGGTGTGCAAGGCCCTTTGGGATCCAGCCCCCCACTCTCCTCTCTAGCTCATCTCTCGCCATGCACTATTCTCAAACTCTCCCTGCTCCCCAAAGCACATGTGATCCTCCAGAAACACTGAAGGGCGAGTCCCCAAACATGCCATGCTGTTCCCACCTGCCCTTTGCACGTGCCGTTCTTATCTGAAACACCTTCTTCCACCTGCCCTTTCTCAACACAGCCCACCCTAAGCCATCCTGTAAGACTCGGCTCAGACGTCACCTCCTCTGGGCTGGCTGACTTCTGAGCTCCCAGAGCACCCTGTGTTACCCACACCACCTCATGGAGAGATCCGGCAAGCCATGTAATCTTAACTTTCTAGAAGCCACATTAATGAAAGGAGGGAAAAAACCCAGGTGAACTTGGTTTCAATAATATATTTTACTTAATATATCCAAAACAGTATGGTTCCAACATGCTTTCAATATTGTTAACATCTTTTTCTATGCTAAGTCTCCAAAATCTGATGAACTCACTGCGTATCTCAATTTGGACACAAAATTCTCATCAGAAATACTTGATCTGTGTTTAAGTATCCCAAGTTGTTATGAAAATACCGGCAAGTCTTCACTAGCTGAATCAAGTACCAGCTTTTGAATGTAGATTTAATTAAAATGATTATGACAGTGAAGATTTAGCCCGTCATAGCGGCCATGTTTCAAGGCTCAGTAGGCCACGACGGTTGTGCTGCTCACACCACCCTGCATTACATGTAGGTCTATCCCTCATCCTTCCCCAGTTCCAAACCTTCCCAATTCCCCTTGGGACAAAGATGCTGCTCCTCAGGCTGTTTTTCCAGAACCATCTCACATCATGGCTCATCATTCCAAACCCTACACTCTCTGTGCCAGCGCGCCAAACCATTCGCGGTCCTCAAGGGCCTTCTCAACTTGTACTGTCTCCCTGCCTAGGACTCTATTCCCTTCTCTCCTGGCTGCCTTTTCTTTGTCCTTCAGGGCTCAGGCTGGTTAATCTCCCTTCTAGAAGTCTCCTTTGAGCAGAGGCCACGTCCTTGTGTTTCCACTATGAGCTGTGCAGCCTCACCACTGCACATAACAACTGTGGGCTGTGCCTAGTTCTGAGCATTTTACAAGTGTTAACTTTTAACTCTTCTGACATTTCTGTGTGGTAGGTATTGTAATTATCAACTTTGTTTTATAGATAAAGCAGCCTAAGCTCAGAGACTATAAGTCATTTACCCAAGATCACACAGAAGATGGATGGCAGAGCTGTGCTCTTATCCACAACACCAAGATCAGAGCTGTTGTAAGGATGTCCACCTGGACCAGAAATCGAAGTGGGGAGAAAGACAGGCAGCTGAAAGGGCAGGAGCCCATGTGTCCTTACTTACCTGTGCGGCGCTTCAGGATCCCCAGTGGGGAGATGCCCATGGGAGAGGTGTCAGAGAGGGAAGACCTGTTCTCAGGAGATGTGGCAGGACTAGGAGGGGAGACTTTTAGGCACTCTGGGCCAGGTTTCTGGAAGAAAAAACAAAGAGCAATTCTAGAGTGAGGTGGGGAAAGGAAGGACTACATTTCCCAAACTTCTCTCTATGCCTACCCTCCTTTCTGGCCCCATGATTCCAGCCTCAACTCAGGCCTTGTCTTCTCTCACCTGGGCAATCACTCCACCCTCCAGTATAGTATAATGGTCCCAGATTATCCCATCATAGACTCCAATAACAATTCTGCTTTCTAAAGTAACAGAATCTTTGATGGTTGGCTAAGCATATGATGTCTCAAGTAAAGACTATACTTCCCAGCCTCCCTTGCAGCTAGGTATAGTCACTGGCCTAAAGACTACATTTCCCAGCCCCCCTTGCAGCTAGGTATGGTCATTGGCCTAAGGTCTACATTTCCTAGCCCCCCCTTGCAGCTAGGTATGGTCATTGGCCTAAGGTCTACATTTCCCAGCCTCCCTTGCAGCTAGGTATGGTCATTGTCCTAAAGACTACATTTCCCAGCCTCCCTTGCAGCTAGGTATGGTCATTGGCCTAAGGTCTACATTTCCCAGCCTCCCTTGCAGCTAGGTATGGTCATTGGCCTAAAGACTACATTTCCCAGCCTCCCTTGCAGCCAGTGGTAATAAGCATCAGTTCTACACAATGGGGTGTAAGGAGGAATGATGTAGATGTTTCTTGGTTCAAATAATATCCAGTTACAGTTCAGTGCCCTTTTCTTCCTGCTAGCTGAATATGGATATTCACTTGGACAAGGGCAACTAGGGATGACAACCAACAGCACAGAAGAGGCCTGGGCCTCTGACTCTGAGACTACCACATGGATCCCGGATTCTGTGCGCTCATTAGAAAGGAAAAAAAATTTCTTGCCTAAGCCACTGTTACTGTGTCCTGGTTTCAACTACTGACTTAATGACTGGCCCTGTTCCAGGTTATTAAGTGACTACTTCTCAGCTCCAAGCCCATTGCTCTACAACCTCCCTTGTGATGACAGGACCAGGACTCCACAAACCTCTTTCTTGCTCTGGCCGCCAGCTGTGTCAGACAGTGCAGACGTGGGGGCACAAGAGGGGACCGCATGACTGAAGGCACCACAGGCTTTCCTGGGGCAGCTGCTGGATTGAACTAATAATTTTTCTAACGCTTCCAGGGCCTGCTATGTGATGCCCCATCAGATACCAGCACCTCATTCCCAGGGCCCCCTTGCTCAAAGATCCGAGTCCAGGCCCTCAGGGCACCTTCTCCAAGCTCAGAGACCCCAGGAGCCACCTGCCAGTATTCCTGCCACAGAGTCTGAGTTTCAGCTCCACAGCCACGGGGGTGGTAGCAGCATCCTGCAGTTGCCGCCTCCATGATGCCTCAAGTTCTCTTTTTATCCCTTCAGTTACCTAGTTAACAAGTGCATGCTTAGTTGACAATTCTTTACACTGAATTCCCTCTGTTTGAATCACTGGTGTGGTTTCTGTCCATCGAGACCTTGATGAATACAAGTCTCACAGGGATATTTCAAACACTGCCCAGGACCAAGCTACCTCTAGCTCTTGTTTACTCAAAACCCTCCCATAGCTTCCTAGCAGTCCCAAGGCAAAGTTCAAGCTCCTAAAGGCATCCATGTCCTAATCCTTGGAATTAGCAAATGACAATCAAGGCTGTTAATCAGCTGACCTCAAGATAGGGTGATCAGCCTGGGTTATCCAGGTGGGCCCAAGGTAGTCACAGGGTCCTTAAAAGTGGAAGAGGAAGGCAGGAGAAGACAGTCAGATTGAGATGCGAGCACCAAAGAAAGGCACAGAAGGAGGCAATGCTGTTAGCTTTGAAAATGGAGAAAAGCTGGCCTCTAGAAGCTGGAAAAGGGAAGGGAATCGATTCTCCTCTGGAGCCGCCAGAAAGGAATGCGGCCCTGCTGACTCCTTGATTTTGGTCCTGTGACACCCATTTCAGACTCTTGACTCCCAGAACTATAAGCTAATAAACTTACATTGTTTTAAGCTATTACGTTTGTAGTAAATTGTTACAGCAGCAAAATGGGAAACTAGTACAGGTAGTCAGGAAAGTTTCACCAGGAAGGTGATATTTGAGCAAAGCCTGAAAGAAAGTGAGAGATTGAGCCACATGTGTATCTTGGAAAGGGAGTTTTAGGCAGGGAAAAGAGCAGGTGACCCAGAGGTGGAGCCCACCTAGCAAGCATGAGAAGTGGGATAGATGGAGTGAGCAGAGGAAGACGTGTCAATGAGGTCGAAGATAGTTGGGCAGGGGGAGACAGGTAGATCGTGAGGGGCCTGTGTGTCTGTGCAAAGAGTGGCTTGGCCTATGATGGTCACATCAATCAGAGCTTCCTGCAGGGAGTGACACGACCTCACCAGTGACAGACTGTGAAGTGCTGCACTTTGGATGTTACCCACAGAGCAATGAACAAGCATTAAATGACCTTTAAACAGGGGAAGGAAGCGATCCAGCATATTTGGAGAGGATGAAAAGCCCTCTGGCCACAGGAGAGACTGCATATACTTCTGAGCTCTTATTTCAAATCAGGCATTATTCTCGGATCTGTATGTGAATTGACTCATTTCATTCTCCCAGCCACCCCATGAGGAAAGTGTTATCAGGAGCTGCGTGTTATAGGTGATGCAACCGAGGCATAGGGAAGTCAAAGAGACTGCTCAAGGTTCCAGGCAGGGCAGGGGCAGAGTTAGGACCAGGTCGCCCGTTCCCCAGGCACAGCCACTAAACTCATCCACCTCCTGGGAAACGTCTCCGTAATTCTCCTGAGCAGCCACTGCACTCAGTTCCAAAGGCTAATGGGAATTATAGTTTCTTCTGGTAAAAGTGGGCAGGCTAATGGGGACCTACCTTTCCTTTGGGGGGAGTCAGGGCTTCGTCATCCTCCTCCCCTTCGCTGCCCAAGACCCGGGCCGCCTTCCTCCCCGGCCTCTTCACTGGGGAGTCGTTATCGGGCACCACTCCATTCCACTCCTTCAGCGCCGTCCTGGACAGTGGGAAAGGTGGGGTGGGCGGGTACACAGCAGACAGAGTGGGGCACTGCCCCAAATACTCAGCTTCTTCACTACGTTTCCTTCCCTTCCTTTCCTTCCAATGCATTCAATGAACATTTTCTAGGTGCCTCCTTGGCATACTAGCCATTTCCTTGGCTGGAAATACTCTATCGTCCAGCCATTCATCCGCCTACCACTCCATCACATCTCCAGAGGCCCCCTGAATGCCCACCCTGCGACGGGTGATGCTGAGGAGCAAATGGAGTCCCTGCCTAGGGCAGAGACTGGCCTCCGACATTCATCTGGAGACTTTCTTTCTTTTTGTAATAAAAGCTCCTGAGTTTTGGCAAGGTACACAGTCACCCAGCTATGGACTATGCTTGCCAGCCTCCCCTGCAGCTATGCACGGCCACGTGATGAGTTCTGAGCAATAGTGTGTAAGTGGCACGATGGACACATGCCACTTGCTCCTGACTACTAGTGTCCATGTCCTCTTAGCCCTGGACCTCAGACTCACTTTGGCAATGAAGACAAGGGACTCTGGATCTGGGACAACCTAGTGGTACAGAGTCGCCTACCTGCCCTAAATGGCCTGAACAACTCAGAGTCTTACAAGTGAGAAAACGGCAATTTTTATTTTAACTAAGTCACTGTGACTTTGTTTACTGTTAGAGCAGCTCAATTACTTTCCTGACATTGGCTCTGAGGACCTCCTAGTCTGGCGAGGGACAAAGACACAGCCTATCACACAATTTCTTTTGGGGCTCGAGACATTTTGAATGAAGTTTTTAACACTTGCAACCAAGAGGATTCTGACTGGTAAAGGAAAAAATTCCCCACGTCCCGGCCCCACTGCATACTTTGGAGGGGGCTCCGTCTCTCTGCTGCTGTTGGATGCCTCCTTCTCAGGCTTCTTCGCTTTACCCTCTTTCTTGGGGTGGAAAAATGACCTAGAGGAGCATAAGAGGGGAAAAAAGGGAATGATAACAACACCAATACCCTGTCTACCCATGCTGCACCCTACAGCTTCCAACACCCTTTCCCATCCCATCATGTAAGAGGATTTCAAACAATCCCTTTGACTGACGAGGAAACTGAGGTTCAGACAGAGGAGGCAATGCTCTACTTATTTTTCTGTCCTGACTCATCTGAGAGATACAACTCACCCCAATTTTCATCCAACAAATATTAACTGAGCATTTATTATGTACCAGGGTCTTTCTTGGGCCTGAGGGATTTGGCAGTGACCCAGACCTGAAGTCCCTGACCTCAAGAAGCTAACCCCTCATGGGGAGGAGGCAAATATTAAGCAAATAACTAAATATAAAATTTCGGGGGGTGCAAAGTGCTCTGAAAAAATATAAATAAAGCAAAGTACCTTCCAATTTACTTGAGGTCACCTAGACTGAGGAGCTTGATTCCAAAGGAGAAAGTACTAAGCGGGAAAAACAGGAACTTCACGGTGAAGAGGCCTGCCTAACACTCCCCTAACCAAGTGATGAAGGTCAGCTGTGCGTGACGTCACAGGGATGTGACGTCACAGGGATGTGACGCACCCCTGACACGAAGCAGTATCTTTCGGTGGTGTGTTTCCAAAAGCCCATGACCCTAGCCTAATTATGACAATACTGCTCACACTGAAATCACGGGATAGTCCATGGGGTACCTGGTCAGTATTCCTCAAGACTGACAAGATCATAAAAAACAAGGGAAGTCTGAGAAAATGTCACCCAGAGGAGACTGAGATGTGACAACTAAATGCAACATGGTGCCCTGAATTTGATCATGGAAGAGAAAAGGACATTAATTAAAAAAAAAAAACAAAAACAAAAAAAAAAAACATACAAATGTTTAGGTTACATAAAAAAGAAAAAAAAAAAACAAACAAACCAAAAAATTGGTCAAATCTGAATAATAAAGCGTAGAGTTTAATTAATGGTACCATACTGACGCTGGTTCCTTAGTTGCTAGAAATGGGACCATAATAATGTATGATGTCAACAGTGGAAACTGGGTGAGAGTATACAGGAACTCTGTATCATCTTTACAACTTTTCTGTATATCAAAAATTATTCCAGGCCAGGTGCGGTAATTCACTCCTATAATCCTAGCACTCTGGGAGGCCGAGGCGGGTGGATCCTTTGCTCAGGAGTTCAAGACCAGCCTGAGCAAGAGTGAGACCCCGTCTCTACTAAAAATAGAAAGAAATTAGCTGCACAGCTAAAAATATATAGAAAAAATGAGCCAGGCATGGTGGCACATGCCTGTAGTCCCAGCTACTCGGGAGGCTGAGGCAGGAGGATTGCTTGAGCCCAGGAGTTTGAGGTTGCTGTGAGCTAGGATGACGCCATGGCATTCTAGCCCGGGCAACAGAGTGAGACTCTGTCTCATTTAAAAAAAAAAAATTATTCCAAAATAAAAGTTTACTTAATCTGTAAAAAAACAGAAAAGGAAAATAAAGCAAAGGAAGCAGACAGAAAGCAATCTAAGGTGTTATCAGCCCTAGATAGACCATCCCCAGATTTCTCATGCTATGAGAAAAATGTAATGCAGGATTGGCATAAGCCGCCATTTCCCAAGTTTCTGTGGTGAATGTCCAGGTCTAGGTCTGTCTACCATCCATTTCCTGATTCTCTTGCTCTGGTAACAGCCCCCAATTTTCCTCCTGGGGTGCCTTTTACCCTGATTTCTCTCAATACACAAGAGTAAAGTGGGCCTGCCCTTTTACCCACAACTGGGGGTGGACATACAACCCAGGCTGGCCAATCAGAGCTCTGCATCCCTGTGGCTGCAGTGGCTGGTTCAGGAGAGATATGTGACCCAACCTGGGCCAGTGAAACTTGACTTTAGATATCGAGACAGCTGGGAGGGAGATACTCTTTCCACTGGGATCGATAACCCAGGGAGAGTCCCCTTGAGACATAAAAACACTGAAGCGAGCTGAGTTGAACAATGGAGAGAAACAGATTCCCAGTGACAAAGTTCTGGCAACTGCATCCAAACAAGTCTGAGGCCATTTACTCTAGAAGGTTTCAACTACATAAGCCAAGTAATTCCCTTTCTTTTTTTCCCTGAAGCCAGCTGGTATTAGCATGAGGTTTCTCAGCCTAGACCCTACTGATTCTTTAAGCTGAATCATTCTTTGTTGTGGGGGGCTGTCCTGAGCCCTGAAGGATGTTTAGCAGCATGTCTGGCCTTCACCCACTAGATGCCAATGGCAAACCTCCCTTTTCCTAAGTTGTGACAACAAAAAATGTCTCCAGACATTGCCTGATGCTGAGCAAATTTGCTGCTGATTGACAACCATTGGGTTAGGGTTTCTGTCCCTTACAATTAAAAAGTTATGTTCAATACACTAATGTCTTCCATATTCCACTCTCCATTATCCATACTACTCAACTCCTGGAAATTCCAACTTGAAGTCTAACTTGAGTTTTCTTTTCTTTCTTTTTTGAAGGCACAGATTTAGAGAAGGAAGCAAAGAACTTGGGGAATTTAAGACTGAGGGGTATGGCAGGGCCCTTACATGATACTTCGCTGCATGTTGGCGTCAGAATTCTCTCTCCCTGTCCAATTCTTCTCTTCTCCTGTCAGCTGTTCTTGAAACAGGAATCCAAATAGCTGGTGTGGATACTGGTTGCACAGAGATCCAAACACATAAAACCCCTTTTTCAGAAAGGAAAAAAAAGAAACAGAAAAACAAAATCTGTTTGTTTGTTGAACAATCATCAGAAGCATGATTGTTCACGAAGAAACTCCTGTTCTTATTAATCAAAATAATTTGCTAGTGAGATTAATTAGTAAAGAATAAAAGTCCCTAAGATCCCTTCTTTACCAGATGGAGCCTGCTTTTCATCAAGTATGGAGAACACACTGAGGGCCTGAAGGGTTTATTCAGTTTAAGGAAAGTTAAAGTTAGTGAAAAATTGTTTTAAGGTGATTATATAATGTCCTAAAATGACCACAAAACATGGCAGTTCATAAAATTGTATCCACTGGGCTACATAAATCAGGTGTGAAACAATTTCTAAGGTATGTTGTTAATAGAAACAGAGGACAGAACATCGTGGAGAGCATGCTACTACACTGTACAAGAAAGAAAGAATATAAATGTATCTGCTTGCATATGCACAGAACATCTCTGCTGGGAAATAAAAACTGGTGATGCTGTCATCTTGGGAGCGACAGACACTGGAGACCTTTTACCATGCACCCTTTGTGTTCAGAGCCATCTGAATATGTTACACCTTCAAAATATAAATTTTAAATTAAGTGTATCTTAAAAAAATGAATCTATTACTTAATGAAATCAACAATAGTCACCAGGGTTTCTACAGTTCAGAGTAACCCTAAAGGAAGGGTTCTTAATCTGGGTCTACAGAACATAACTACCACCCCCTAGAAGTCCAAAAGAATTCAAGAAATGAATGAAATTTGATGAGAAAGAAATTACAACTTTATTTTTGCAAACATCTAACTGGAATCAAGCCTTTCCCTCTATTATAAATACAGATATTAAAACAAAGAAGTATTAGCAGGACCTCTGGGTGGACTACTGGAATCTTTTTTGGCCCCTGGGGGCCCCTCTAGTTTTCTGAAATCAGTGCTCTCTGACCCACACCCCAGGCCTGAGTCTGCACTCCTCTCTCACCCTCAGCCAACACAGCCCTGGCACCAGGAACTCAGACTCAATCTTGGAATCAGAAAACTCCAAAGAGCTCACAAGGAAGGTAGGTTAGGGACTTAGCCACCAAAATCCCGAGGGGACAGGAGAGAAGGGAGTATCGACTACTATGATCACTATTATTTGAGTGCTTACTCAGCTAGGTACTGTACATTCTCAGTTTTATTGAATCTCCAAAACAACCCTGTTACAGATAAGGAAACTGAGGCCCAGAGAGGTTAAAGGGACTTGACCCAGCTCTATTAAGTTCCACCCCAGATCTGCCTGCCCCCCCCCCCCGGTTTCCTTCTTACCCCTTGGCTTAGGTTTTGGGGGAGGGGGGAGGAATTGGGCTTTTTTGGGAGGCCAAGTGGAGTTTTGCCAGGTTGTTCCCTTTTTCAACCTTTTTCGTTCTTCAGCCAGCCCTTAGAGAGGTGAGGTCATCCCCACTTCATAGAAGAAGGTACTGAGGACAGAGGGACACAGATGGGGCCTAAACGAGGCTTCAAACCCATGTGTAGCTGGCTCCAAAGCCCATGCTCTTCTTTACTGTAGAACTCAGGGTTTCAGGTTGGCCTCTAACTCTCTCTACTGCTGGGTTGAGGGGGTTTGGGACAAGCTGGTCAGTGTCTCTGGAGGTACACCTGGCTTCTCTATGAGAACGGCAACCCCACTGCTGTGAACTCCACCCATGGAGACACTCACATGTGGGCCAAGTGAGGTAAGTACAAAGTTACTCGCTGCAGTACTATTTGTAATAAGAAAAGACTGGAAACTGGTGGAATGTCCACCCATAGGGAACTGCTTCCCTAAATACTGGTACAACAACATGGTGGAATATTGTACAGGGTTAAAATTGAATCAATGAGAGCTAAAGGGTCTGGGGTTTTCTTTTTGGGGTGATGAAAATATTCTAAAATTGATTGTGGTAATGACTGTACAACTTGGAATATACTAAGAAATCACTGAATTGTACACTTTAAATGGGCAAATTATTGTGTGATATTTGATTTATATCTCAATAAAGGTGTTACTGAAATAAATAGATAAATGATACAAGGAAAAATATCAAATGAGGATGAAAAACAATGATAAAAGGAAATGAAGCACTGATACAGCAACAACTTGGGTGATTCTCAACGGTATTTTGCTTAGTGGAAAAAGGGTAACATACTATATGATTTCATTTGTACAACATTCTCCAAATAACAAAACTAGAGATACGGAACAGATTCATAGTTGTCAGGGTTTGGGAAGGGCTGAGGATAAAGGGGAAGAACATGGAGTTCCTTTGTGGAGAGGGAACAGTTCTATACCCCAACTGTGATTCATAAGTCTACACAAGGATCAAAGTACATAGACACAGACAGACAGACAGACAGACACACACATACACAGAGGGGCACGTGTGAAAGCTGCTGAAAACTAAATAAGGTCTGTAGTCTAGTTAACAGACTTGTACTGATGCCAATTTCCTGGTTTTGATATTGGACTAGAGTGATCTAAGATATCACCATTGGGAGAACCTTGAACTATTTCTACAACTTCCTTGAATCTATAATTATTTCAAAATAAAAAGTAAAAACAGGCCGGGCGCAGTGGCTCACGCCTGTAATCCTAGCACTCTGGGAGGCCGAGGTGGGTGGATAGCTCGAGGTCAGGAGTTCAAAACCAGCCTGAGCAAGAGCGAGACCCCATCTCTACTATAAATAGAAAGAAATTAATTGGCCAACTAATATATATAGAAAAAATTAGCCGGGCATGGTGGCGCATGCCTGTAGTCCCAGCTACTGGGGAGGCTGAGGCAGGAGGATTGCTTGAGCCCAGGAGTGTGAGGTTGCTGTGAGCTAGGCTGACGCCACGGCACTCACTCTAACCTGAGCAACAAAGTGAGGCTCTGTCTCAAATAAATAAATAAAAATAAAATAAAATAAAAAGTAAAAACAATAAGACGACAGAATGCAGGCACTCTGTATGAGTACTATATACGAATATGAAAAGAAGTCCTAGATACAGTAAGATATTAAATAGTAAAGGAGGCAGAACAGTGTGTATGATATTCTACCAGTGCTGTAAGACAGGGGAAAATAAGAACATATATACAGTCAACCCTTGAACAACACTGATTTGAACTTTTGAGGGTCCACTTATACATGGACTTTCTTCCTTCTCTGCCACCCCTGAGGCAGTAAGATTAACTCCTTCCTCTCTACCCTTCTTAACATGAAGATGTTGAGATAAAGACCTTTATGATGATACACTCCCACTAGCTATGTTGCCCAGGCTGGTCTTGAACTCCTGGCCTCAAGCAGTCTTCCTGCCTCAGCCTCCCAAAATGCTGGGATTATAAGCATAAGCCACCACGCCCGGCCTTCCCAAGTGACAGAAACCTTGGAGTACCTGTTAACTCACTGCTTTCTCTCACACCCTAAACTCATCTACTCCAAGCTCCACTGGCTCCACTTCCAAACAATAACCCACAGTCAACCACCTCTCAACACTCCACTACTATAGCTCAGGCCCTGCCACCACCATCCCATCACACTAAGAAGAAGCTCCTAAGTCCTCACAAGGCTGTAGATAGTCTGAATCCCTCTCCCTCCTCCCAACTCACCAACTTCATTTCCTCAATCCTTTCACTGCAGCCAAGCTGGCTGCCAGGCTGCTCCTCAAACTCAGCAAGCAGCTCCCATCCCAGAGAATGGGCCACGTCTACACACTTCCTAACTTCAGGGAGCTCTCTCCTCACACACGGCCTCCTCAGGGAGGCTTTCTTGACACTCTGGCCAAGACAGCCCCTCCCCTCATCACAGCATTCTGCACAGCTTGGCACTATAAATGAGAATTTGTCTTGCCTCCCAGAGCAGCACTGTCCAACAGGACTTTGAGATAATAGAAACGTTCTACATCTGCGCTCTCCAATATGGCAGTCCTAGGATACAGCTAGAGAGACTAAGGAGCTGAGTTTTTTTGTTTCCAACTAATTTAAATTTAAATAGCTACACATGGCTAGTGGCTACTGCACTGAGCAGAGCAGGGCTAAAATGTAAGTTCCATGAAGGTATAGGTTTTGTCTGTTTTGTTCAGTGATACATCCACGGGACCTGAAACTATGACCAGTATTGAATGCATTGGCCAATATACTTACCTTTCTTTGATTACTAAAACTTGGGGTAACAAAAACATTATTTTAAGAATTCAGGGTCCATAAGCAGGACCTTTAAAAGCTGGAGGCCATGGTGAAAAGGAGGGATATAAAGGGGTCTTTGAACAGTTTGGGGATGACAGGCCAGAAGGCTCAAGCCAAGCCACACCCCACCCTTGTCAAATATTTCACACCTTTCCCTAAATATGCTGCTCTCCTGTCCACTGAGACTTAAAACTGCTCAGCATCCTTCCAAAGATAATTGAGGAGGCTGAGATAAGAGACAGTGCCTTGCCCAGGGCTATACAGCCAGTCAACGATGGATACCAGAAACAGAGGAGCCCAGTTGAGAACTACCTAGGATTCATGTTTAAAACAAACCCAGCAAGCTCCCAGAACTACTTAGAACACAAACTCTGGGAATGGAGGGGGAAATCTGCAGGTCTACCAGGCTCAAATATCCGAAAACAAAATGAAATTAAAGCGCCTTTCCCTCGTGCCTCCTTCTTGGGCTGCCGAATAGGCAAGTGGCAAGTCTAAGATTCAAACATGCCGAAATGGGGATGGAGGCCAAGCAGTGATGTCTTTAATGCCACTTTCTGCTGCCTCCACTCCTGGATTCCCCTTGGCTTTCACATGCCAGGTCTCTTCTCTTCTCAGCACCAAGTGCCCTCCCCCTGAGCCTCCAAGCTTCCCTCTCGCCTAAGGAAGTCAACAACTTTCTCTCTTCTCTCCCCAAGCTCCTGTGCCTCCCGGATCCACACTCAGCGGGCAAACAAGCCTGACCCTTGCCTAAACTCTCCTCTCCTCCGCCCCACCTCCTCGCAGGCCTTGGCTCCATGTGTGCTGTCTAGCCTGCCCTCGCCTCCGCTCCGCTCCTCTGTCACACACACACAAGGCCAGACTTCTCCCAATCCAGGTTTTCGATCCTTCGCGACGCCTTCACCTAGACCTGGACCTCCCCCTCACCCCACCTTGGTCCAGCTGGGCCCACCCCTTACAGGTGAAACGCCCGCTATTAACCTTCCCTTTAGCCCCACCCCTTGTGGTGGCCCCGCCCACCCAACGCATCCAGCCCCACCTGGCCCCGCCCCTCAGAGCTCCCTGGCCCCTCCCTCCCTTCCAAGTGCCCCCCCCCGCGCCCCTCCAGGCCTTTCCTCAGAGTCTGCGGTGTCCGTCTCCTTCCCTCCTCTACTCTCTCCTTGGCCTCTCTCCCTCCAGCAGACGCCGCTCTGCTGTCTGGCCGGCAGTCCTCAGCCCGCGCTCTCCCCTTCCTACTGCGCACTGGGCCTCTTCAGCGTCCCCACACCGCTGCTCCGCAGCCGCCCGGACAGGCGAAGCATGGGCACCAGGTATTCGGCACGCGGTCGCCCTCAGCCCCCCAGCCATGCGGCCCAACTTGCCTGGCGCCGGTGCCGCGCGCCACTGCCCCGGCAACACCCTTAGCTCCGCTCGGCGCGCCGCTGCAGTCCCAAATTCGCGCCACGGCATTCGCGCGCAGACTTTGGCGGGTGGGGGCGGGCCCAGCCGAGGGGCGAGGCCCGGGCGCCGCCGCGCCGCAGTCGCTGCGCGGGGGGCGCTGGGAGTTGTAGTCTCCCGAATGGGAGGCGGCTAGGAAAGAGGGTGAAACGGGGTAAGCCCTCCCGCAGAGCACGCTGGGAAGCGGCCCAAGCCTTCCCTTACTCCGGATGAGCGGGAGCGGGTGTGGCTGCGGGTCGGACGAGTGACTGGCGAGGAAAAAGGAAGACTCGGTGGACGCCGCGCGCAAGGCACGGCGGGAAGAGAGGCGGGAAGCCGCGCGGGGCATCCCGGGAACAAGGGCCGGGCTGGGCCTCGGCGCGAAGCATTGTGGGAAGTGGACGCCGCTCCGGGGCGGGTAGGTGAGTGGGGAGGGGCGGGAAGGGTGCACATTTGGGGGAGGGGAGAGGCACAGCTAGGTGGGACGGCGGGGCTGGGAGGGGCCGCGGCGGGCGGGGCTGGGAGGGATTGGGAGGCGGGAGCGGGCTGGAAGGGGCTGCTGGAGGAGGGGGCGCAGCTGGACCCTGGGGGAGCATCTGGGGTGAAGAAGCCCGTCTGTGGATGAGGGGCTATGTCTAGAAAGAAGACGTTTGTCGCGAAGGATGGTGGCTGTAGCTGGAATGAGGGGCCACAGCTGGACTGGGAGACACATGTGAGGAGGAGGGGGATCACAGATGAATATTGGTGACACTTCTGGGGAGAACTGGCCACAAGTGGGCACACACCTGTAGGCAAAGAATCCATAACTGAATGTGGAGGGCACATCAGGAGATGGGAACATCTGTGAGATGGCGGAGCCACAGCTGGACGTGGTGATCCGTAGGGTTCACATCTGGGGGAGGGCAACAGCGGCATGTCTGAGACACATCTGGGGAGTAGGGAGCCACAGGTGCACGAAGAGTATAAGAGTATGACTGGATGAGGAGTTTGTGCCTGGATGTGGGGAGCACATCTGGAGAAGGAACAATTCTAAAGGGGGCACAGCTGGATATGGGTCACAGCTAAGTGCAGACGCTTGGAAGGGGAAGTTCTGGATGAATGGGGGTACTAGAGGTTACTGCCAATGGTGAGACACATCTGGAAGGGGAGGAGGCTTTAGCTGAGCTTAAGAGTCATATTTTGGGAAATGGGACCCCAACTGTACCTAAGGGTCACATCTGCGGAGGAGAGGACCAGAGTTGGAGCTAGGGATCGGGTTGACAGGCTCCACTTGAACAGGGGGTAAGGTGGTGAGGGGAGACCAAAGATAGGGTAGAGATTTATATCTGGAGGAAAATGGGCATCCAGCTCCAGACCCTACTTGGACAGAGGCATCAGCACCAATGGGGCAGGCTGAGAATGGAGAAAATGAGATACCTCTTGTGGGGATGGATCTGATATCTAGCTGTTTTCCCCGCCTCCACTCAGGCCCCCAGGATGGAGCAGCGGGAGCTCCCAGCCTGCACAGCAGCAGGGCAGGAGGAGCAGGAGCTGCGGGAGCGGGCCTTCTTCTCATGGGCAGAGTTCAGCCGCTTCTTCGATGCGTGGTGCCAGCAGCGGTTGGCGCTCTTCTTTGTCAAGAGCTCCATGCACCTGGCACGCTGCCGCTGGGCCACCACACCCCCACTCTACACGCTCATCGACGTGCTCAAGTACAGCTACGTGCGGCTCGTGTGCAAGGATGTGCGCGCGCCCAGCCGGCCCACTGTGGGGTGCGTGAGCCTGTGCTGCTGTCCTGCTGGGGGGGAGGGGAAGCGGAAGCAGATGGGGAGGGGAGGGACAGCCAGAAAGCCCCAAACCCAGAGATGTGCAGGGAGAGAGGCCTACTGAGATAGCAAAATGCCTTGCACACATACAAAGAGAACAGAGACTGGGAGACTGAACTGCAGGGGAAGCCACAAGACAAAGAAAAAGGTCCATCTAATTCCGTAAATACAGGGTAGGTCGTGTCCCATGCTGGGAGCTGGGGATATTTTGGCGGGGGAGGAGGGAGACACAAAAATCCCTGTCCTCGTGGAACTTTCAGACTGGACAGGAAGACTGATATTAAAAGAACAAGTTCATGGGTAGTTCCCTACAACTATGTACTGCTATAAGGAGGGATAGGCAAGAAATCCAAGAGAGCCAGGAATCACACCCAGGTGGCTGGGAGTATTTTAATTAACCCCAATTTTAAGCTGGGATGGTTACCCATACGGTGTTGGGTTTCCAGCTTACCTTGAAACACACGAGAAGGTGAGCCCACATGTCCACATGGCAGATGGCCACCACTGTTAGATGGCGCTTTGGTGCTCAGGTTTGCCCCAGACCCCGCTGCTCTCTGCTGCCTCATGCTTAGCACTGTCACTTCCTTATTTTACCTGCCTGGCCTCTGTAGGTGTGAGTTTGAGACCTTTGGTTGGGGAGCCATAGACAAGGTCAGAGTGCCTAAGAACATAGGCTCTGCCTTCAGGCTGCCTGAGATGGGCTCCACCACTTCCTGGGTGGGTGTCTTTGGGCAGTGGGCTTCACATCTCCAAGCCTCAGTTTTCTCATCTCTGAAATGGGGTTATTATAGTATCTGCCTCATGGGGCTGTTGTGAGGATGCAGTGAGATCATGCTTAAGAAAGGCACTTACGCTGGTGCCTGGAACACAGAGCAGCTGGTTAAGTGACAGCTATTATAGGATTCAAGAGCAGACTGTGGGGCCATTGCTCTGCTGATGAATAGCTAGTGCTAGCTATTAAGCAAGTGACTACACCTTCTGTGCCTCAGTTTCCTCACTTGGAAAATGTGGAACATAATGGTATCTATCTCATAGATTTTATGAATATTAAATGAGCTAATACATATAAATTATTCAGAAGAATATCTAGCAAAGAGTGAGAGCACACTCTAACAGCTATTCTCACCCACAGTTAGTTAAACGTTTATTGTGGAATTACTGTTTTCTTGAGTTTATTTACTACTTATTCTAGAAATGGAGGTTGAGAGAGCTGAAAGCAGCATAGTGTCAAACACACACGTGACCCAGAAATCTAGAATATTAGAGCTCGCAAGGAGTGCAGGCCTAATCTGGAATCTCTCTTTGTTAATCTCTCTTTGGAATCTCTCTGTTTGTTGGAACCTAATCCAGAGTAACAAATAGTTATTGAGCATCTACTGTGTGCATGTTCTTCGCTCAGTATTTGGAACTCAGTGCTGGTCAGGGCCCTGGAACAGCTCAGAACTTAATGGAGGAGACACAGATTAATAAAAAACAACAACAAAATCACAAAAGCACAAATAGTGGTCCACCTTGAAGGATGTTGTTTATATGTTTATGTATGTACGGTATTTGACTTAACCAACACGTGGTGCTCTGTCCCAAGTGTTCTACAAATATCAGAGAGCCGGGGGGGGGGGGGCAGGAGAAATAGGGCTGTGGAGGGGTCTAGGACAGTGCCCATGGGTTCAGGCCTGGTGACTGGGTTGATGATGGGGTAGTCTCTGGATGGAGAGTGCAAAAGGGGAGTGGTTGATGAGCTGTTATGGAACCATGATGTGGACCCATAGTTTCTGGGCTTCCGTACCTCACCCCTAGCTGCTCAAGGCAGGGTCTCTCCAGTGTCTCAGCCCATGGGCTGAAGCCTGAGGCTGGAGAAGTTAAGGGGTAAGAAAAGGCAGAAGAGGCTGGAATGGTGTCAAGGCCTGGACCTGGCAGGGCTGAGTCCAGGGGCTGGAACTTTATCCTGGGGGTGCTGGGGAGCCCCAGGGGACTGTGAGCAAGGTCAGCTCTGGGTGGGAGATGATCTGGAGGAGAGAGACGGGATGTCAGGGAGGAGGATCCAGGGAACGCAGATAGGCCTTTCTTTCTGGCCACTCCTCCCTTGCCAGAGGTTGCCCAGTGACCCCCTCTAGATCACCATGCTTGCAACTCAGCCCTCCAGCTCCAGTTCCTCTCCCTGTCTCCCTCTCTCAGCACTTCCCTCTCTAGAACAGAACTGCTCAAACTTTCCCAACACATACCAGCCTTTGAAAGCACAGAGATCTTGGAAACCTGAAAGATCAAAAATAAATTTGTGTGAGTGGAATACAAAATAAAGCAAAGCAATGGTACTTGCAGAAGAAGAAAAAATGGTTTGAAAGTAGCAGCTATTACTTCTTGATTGTTTACTATGCACCAGCCCCTTTTCTAACCACTTTGTATAGTTTAATCCTCTTATTTAGTACTCTTGACAAGCCCATGAGGCCAGCCTTATTAGCCCTAGTTCCCAGATGAGAAAACTGAGGCACAGAATGGTTTAAGGGCTATCCCAAGATAACACAGCTACTAAGAGGGAAAACCAGAATTTAGACCCCCACAGTCTGACTCCAAAGCCCATTCCTTTAATTATCACTCCGTCACCTCTCTTTTTCTGTCTTTTTCTCTTTCTTTCAGTCTCTCTCCCCCTCACCTTTATTTCAGTTATTGGTTATCAAAATGAGAGTTGAATGTGCTAGTACCTAAAGATTTCTGGGTTCTAGGTGTCATCCTGTTTGTCCATCCACCCAAGGGGTATGTTTCTAGATCCTACTATGTGCCAGCTGTCTGTGTTTTAAATGCTGGGGCTTCTGTGGGAAGCTTACATTACAGATGGACATAAATCAGATTATCATTTTAGTGTGTGATGGATGGAATCTGCCCTAGCCTGAGGATGGCCAGGGAAGGCTTCCTGGAGGAG